TTATTAGTACTACTACATTGAATACTTCAGCTTGCATTCATAATGGTCGCAGTTGCTAGAATGTCTGATAGAAATACATATCCAATCCGATCCGCGCATCTGATAACACATTAATTTGGAACAGTGCTATTGAAGGCTGGTGACCCGTCATGACGGTGTTAGATAGGCCATATGTAAATATATGGAAGCGCCTAATTGTAAAGACCATCGCAAGTGCCTCTAGAACAGTTACATGGTATTTTCTATCTGGTTTTCTCAAGCTGTTAGGTGCAAAGAAAATCGGATGCATTTGCTTGTCCTCACCCTCCTGGGATTGCACTACTCCCAAACCATATGTTGGTGCACCCGTGCATATGCAGAAAGATTTGGTACCCTTCCTTTCAACACCCACATATGGCTGCTTGAGAACTTCTGCCCAGCAAATCATATCATTCACCTTCTAAAATACTTCATGATGCTCTTTTTCCCAATGCCATTTTTGATAAACTCAAACGGAAGAGGCACTTCTCCTGTTTTGAGAAGCCTATAGAGAACTTTTGTAGAAGAAAGGAATGTCTAAGATGTTTCGGAGTTGTTTCACGGTCTGCGTAAATGGATGGTTTTAGATGATGACACCTTCTCGGAGCTCTGCCTCCGTTGACGACATGCTCGAAGAAGGCTTCTCACTCTTCAAAAGATAGCATTTTTTGCTTTGCAACAACATTCCGCCACTTTCAAACTTCTAAAAACTTCTTCTAGAATTTGGAGACGCATCTGTTTGGAAGTCATCTATAACATTCATTTCCGAAAATATCTCCTAGAACGGGATTCATGCATGTTTAACATGCTGGCAGGCTTCAACTCAGACCAAATTACTTTATCCTGAATTTACACCGTCCTTCTAGCGTGACAAATGCTGATTTCTCCTTGGCGTCATCCCCTAGAGGGATTCGCCAGAGTTCCGCTGCCCATGTGCAATAGATGATGAAGAGCTGATAAGCAAACTGTGTGAACTGTTTGAAACATAAACTTTCTAGCTCAAGAAACGGTAGAAGTGAGATGCAGCAAGACTTCAGTGAGTACGACGCCAGCGCGAAAAGTGGTGAGCAAGGCAAACGTTGTCAGGAAACACTTTTGCATCTTGGTTGTAAATTCTTGCAAATTCTTGGGTAATCCAGATGATGGCGGGAAATGGAAGATAAGATGGAAAATAGGGCGATGAATTCTAAAGTGAAAGGGGCCTTCGAAAAAATGATAATTGATTGATTGATAGATAATTTGTTCACTCATAAGCAAAGTTAACAAAAACATCTGGTAACAGCAAAATGACCCACCTTTTCAGCCTCTTGGAGTAGAAAATAAAATTAGAGATCGCACCAGCAAAAAGAATAGCAGAGAACAAAAGAGTAGGAGGAAATCATCGCGTCATTACTCGGCGATCAGCTGATTGTGTATGGGTCCTAGAGCGAGAATTTGCAATCTGTATCGTCTCGACACTCGTCTGATATGACATCCATCGAGGTGCGGGAAAGCCCCGCTAGCCAGCAACGGGGATTGTCGTGAACGGTGCCTTCAACACGATTTCAAACGTCGAGAATGTTAAGAAATGGGTTGCTTACTGAATCGCTTCGATGTCGATTTGCCTTTCGCCATAGTATCATATAATCTTTAGAAAATTAGGAAAGCTCACAAAACTAATGGAAATATGTGGATTAAAATGAGTCCCAAGTTTTGATCGCCTATGCTGGAGAATAGCTTCTGCATTCATCAATGGCATCAATGAGTTTACATTCAAACACTCACTGATATTCTACGAATCCATTCGATAAAAAGCAGATGATGTCAGTTACAGTAAGCTTGGGTGTGGTGCAGTAGGAACGAAATAGTCGCGTCGCGGGGAGAGGGACGCCGCGCGCGAAGGAACGCAGCAACGAGTAAGAAATACAGGAACAAAAGAACTGTCAGTAGAATCATGTCTAAAGTAATAATCGCATAGCGATTGAGCTGTATTAAGAACGCTGAAACTGGTATAACGAGGCAAATGGTCAGCGACAGCCGCCTGCGGCGGATCGATTACACGAAACCGTCCCTACTGCCCATCTCCTACTGCACCACACCCAGCTTAGACCGTCAGCGAACCGACACACCAGCTTAAACCGTCAGCGAACCGATACCGTCCTTTCTTGTATGGCGGATCTGATAGTGTATACTGAAAACTAAGCCAGAGGTTCAGGTAATCTTTCTGCAAAATGAAGGGTGGGCGCATGGTAGTAGAACTTGTGAATACATGGTGATATTCGACTGAACAGTAAATCTGACTATTAATCACCTTTCTACCAGAAAACGCTGCGATCAAGACTGGAGACTCATTTCAATCCATGTATTCATTTTCCTAGCGATTCTATGATAGTACCGCGAAAGGCGGTGTTTGTATCAAAGCGATTCACTCATCGACCCATTTTTGGGCATTGTCGACGTTTAAAAATCGTGTTAAGGCTACAGTCTGCTGCAACAACCGGAACAAATGGTGAACAGGCGGCGCTATGGCTGCTCAGTACTTTTGATGGGAAACAATTCTCAACCAAAGTGCAAAAGTATTTTCCCGAGAGTTGTTGCAACATTTCGGTTAGCGTTTCTGATAAAAAGGATGTCCTGATTTGTTACGCGCTATCGTAAGTCTTTTTATTAGCAATTATCGCAACTTCAACTTGCCCAGCTGATGCAGGTAGACATCCTCAGAAAGAGTTTCTTTTCAGAATCTCTGAATATCATTTCTTGATGATCCCATTGAATAGTTCCAGGCCGTAGATGTTCCGTTTGAATGCGATGTCCGTTTTCGTCCTGGATCTACCAACGACTTTTTTTCACGTTTGAGGTTGTCACAATACATCCACGTTTTGCGGATAATCGTGACAGACAACTAATTTTCTACATCGTTCGCAAAGAAACCATGACCTTCGGACAATTCAAAATGCATCTTGGCTACAGTTCGAGTTAAAGCCATTATTCCTTGTTCGAGACCTTCCAGTGTGGCGGTAGTGTAGTGGCAAGTGGCGCACTTGACACGCACATCATCACGGGTTCAAATCCCGGATCTTTAGTTCCGGGCTGGTTAATTGGTACAAGACTCGTCTGGGAGGATAAAATGACTGACCTGATCAACGCCTGGCGCGCTGTCCCACGTGGCCTGCAAAACGCGGGACATATGTGTCCCGCGTTGTCGTCAGCGTGTTAAATACGCCACAACGATTCTGGCTGGGAGCCGAATGGCGCGCCCTTCTGTTGTGATTGATTAACGCCCTTAGACTTTATCCTTTATCTCCCATTATGTGATAACGTTTCAATGCCCCCTGTTCATCTACCATAAATTGCAACGGTTTCAAATGAGTAATGATGCCTTTGGTTTATTATCTCGCCATCAGAACTTACGGGTGTCTAAGCGTTTCCTATCATTGGTACCGAGCCACTACTTAGAGGTGTGGTGCAGTAGGAACGAAATTGTCGCATCGCGGCAAGAGAAGTGTCGCGCGCGAAGAAAGGTAACAGAGTGCAGCAGCAAGTTAGAAATACAGGGACAAAAGAGCTAATAGTAGAATCATGCCAAGAGTAATAATCACATAACTATTGAGCTTTAGAAGAACGCTAAATCTGCTATAACGAGACAAATGATCCGCGACAGCCGCGTGCGGCGGATCGATTGCACAAAACCATTCCTACTGCCCGTCTCCCCCCATTTAGGAATTCTTGGAAAGAATGATTTCGGAATGGTCCAGCTTTTCTGGCATTTATTCACTCCGTCTGTGAGGTAGCAATCAACATACCCCAGAGAGATGGAAGGCTTGTTTGGCGTGTGATGGAGCGATGCAGAATCCGATCCTTAAGCCGTGCATGCGGTAGTGCGTCACTTGATACAACACCGCCTCCGCCCTGATCGTGTATTTCATTCAGTGGAAAATGCAGTTTAAAAATTAAGGCCACCAACTTCATCGATTTTGTTCAGGATGCGATACGACATGCATTCATGCTCCACTCAGAAGCCAACAGATTCATGGAGCACTTCTAATCGTAATTGGCTTTATACAGTATCCAAAAACTGAGAACGAAGATAACCGAGTAGAGAAGGAGAACGGGATACAGCCGATATGTTTTGTGCCTACCATCGTCTCCTTCAAAACTTTTAAAAAATAAAACCTTTGTCACAACCGTGATTAATTTTTTCCTTATAGTTCATGTTAGGTACTTTGAGGAAGCTAGAAGCTCGAAACACAATCTCTCCACAACTTCTATCCACCAGTTTATAGATAGATATCGATCAGCAATTTTCAGTATCGTGAAAAGGAAGTGCTCCTCCTCCAGAGAGCTAATAGTGAGTACGGAAAGTTTGTCTTCGAAAACATCGGAAAATCTCAGCTTTAATGTTCAGAGAAGCATGAGCACGCACTGACAGTTTGCTGCTTCCTGAACAGGTGTGGTAGGTACTGTAAAATGTAAGTTCTGTCAGATTCACATATCAATATGAAGATCCTACTGGCAAACAGGTAGTAACTTGAAACCAAAAACTCTAATCATTATGTTTCACATTTTGAATTTGTATTGTTTTTTTTTGTAATCCATTGCTTTTCTTTTTGTAATCCATTGCTTTTCTTTTAGGTTGCTACCGGAATTGACTATTTGATCACCTGTAGTACTTAGCTGCTAGAGGATGTGATTGAACTAGTTTCTTCCTCTCCTAAATGATATTCGTTGGTTCTCTCTTCCTGCTGCTGCTGCTGCTATTCGTGTACTACGCTTAATGCTTGTATGGTAGAGTCTTTATACTAGGTAGCAACCGGTAACCTGTAGACAGCACTAAAGCAAATAACGCTGCTGATCAAAAAATAGACTCTAGTGTCAAATTACGAGGTCCGATTTCTGCAATTAATACATAAGCAATGATATGGACTGAGTGAGGAGGTGGTGAGAGAAAGATAGCGCACATCGTTACGCGGCTGGCTGGTCGGCGAGATTCCGGTGCATTGTCCATGCTGGTCAAGATCTGGACGAACACGGTCGATCGCCATCACCATAGCGTCACGATGTCGTCATCACCGTTGTTGCTTCTACTGATTCTGATTCCGTTTGCATCATGCCAACTTCTGGAGATATTCGGTTTATCTACAGGAGATGCCGGTACCGTAGACCGACAACCGTTTCAGGATCTTGCAAGGTTTGTGCGATCACGTTTCGGACATTTATACGCTAATCCTGCAGTAAATCGTTGTTTTTCTAGTCAATCCGTCGGGCTCATCAACTATCTACAGACCGTTCAACGCAATCCAAACAATCAATTGGCGAAAAAGTGTGTCAGAGAAAGGAGAGCGTGTAGAGTGAGAGTATTAGGAAACACTGCGTAAGAAGTAATAAGATAGGTAGAATTTAAAAATTGTTAATGGATTTATGGACCTCAGTCCAGCTGCAGGTCGGTCACCCAAAAGAAATTGAGGGAAGTTTGGGAACCACTAAATCAGCATTTCAATTTCCCTACTAGTTTAAGCATAGTAACCACTCTAAAATGGAAGATTCAGAAGCGAATTGAATTTGCTAAAGGGGACATAAATGAAAAGTCATGAAGGGCTGGTAATCATTACTTGTTCTGGTTACGCGAACCGCTTCCGACGATGAACTTTATGGGTGGACTCCCAGTCGTACCAGGTGTTATGGGCAGCCTCCCTGGCGCCGGTTCGTGTCTTCCGCGTGGATCTCCTCTTGTGCGAGACAAGTTTGTAGCTTTATTCCATCCAGTTTGCTTTATTTATTCATTTGCACCTGAATCTCCCAGGAAGGCATAAAGTGAACGCAAACCCTGCAAATACAAATTGTTTTTCAGATCACCGAGTTTCTTCCAAAATATTTTGAGAAACATTCCTGGAGCTCATGATTATCTAGCCAGTTTACTACCTTCACCAAAAGTGGAAAGCGCAGCACTTTACGGTAAATACCATTGGGTGCGTTCAGACTACTACAGTATCTGATTTCAGTCGCGCCGATATTTTGATTCAACTATTTGTTTACTGAGGTGATCATAACGACCAATTCACAGCTGACAAGTGAGAAAAACTTCTCTTCATAGCCATATTGACTGAGGAGCCTAGAAAAAGTCGCGTGGCGAAAGATCGAATTTCTTATCTTTCTTTCTCATGTAAAAAACTGCATTAACGAGATATGGGGAAGCCACAAAACGATTTATATAGCTTTGAGAACTTCAGAATCTTGTTATTACCGCTTCTTATCGTTCCAATCCCTGTACAGGTAAAGTTTGAAGTGTACATAGAAAAATGTAGTGCATACATTGTCTCGTAGTGTAAACCTTGCTTCGTATGAAGCATAGAAAGAAACCAATGTTCTATTCTTTTCTTTTCCTGCTTCTTTTTAGTTCTACTTCATAAAATTTGCAAACTGTTCAGCAAAAACACGAGCATACTTGAGACTTTGTCAGCTTGCCTGCTTCAGGGCTTAAAATGGTAGCATATTAGCCTGTTGCTGTTTAGAATTATTAGGTGTGTGCATTAATTTCCGCCGCCAAATTCAAGGGATCGTTGCGCGAACCATGTTAGAGGTTTACTAGTGAAACCTAACATATCCTGTAAAATAAGGTACTACCAACCTATTTAAGGGCCGACAGATCATTTTTCCCCCAAAATCCCGTTGCTATCAAACTGATTCTTCTTGGAACGTGATAAATCGTTTTTCCGAGAGGTTATTTCCCTGCTGTTTGATTTCAAGAAAACTGCCACTGAAGCTCGCCGCAGGCCTTTCGATACTTATGGAGAACAAGCTCCATCTGAACCTGCAGCTCTCACCAAAAAGCGCCCGTTAATCGCAAGGAAACATCATAAGGTGCTGTTCAACCACGACAATGCCAGACCCCATGTTGCAAAGAATGTCCTAAAAAAATTGCACATCTTGGATGGGATCAGCTTGTTCAGCCCGCATTCTCCCCGGACCTTGCTCCTTCTGATTACCACTTATTCCGGTCCATGCAAGTCAGTTTGGCAGATACACGCTTCCAGAATGCCAAAGAAGTGCGGAAACAGGTGGGTGACTGAATTGTCACGAAGGATAGATACACTCCTAGACGCCGAATCAACAAGCTTTCAGAAAGATATCAAGAAGTTGTAGCTAACGATGGACAATACATTGGTTAAGGCACATTTTGTTCCAGTTTTGTAATAAATATGTTTTCGCGCGCAAAAAACGGCGAAAATTAATGAACACTCCTAATACATATACGGTAAAAGGCTCCTATTCCGAGTTTCTGCCTAAGGTATCTATTTTAACAATTACTCTAGATATGAACTTTTTGGGTTTCCATGAAAGTACCCATATTCTTTTCATTTGAAAGTCTTCGGCTTTTACAATTTCATATTTCGGGATTGTTTCCTGATTATTTGGGTGTTTGTTTTTGATTCGGTGAAATAGTGCATAATCAGAGTGCGCAGAGAAAATTTTCATTTTGCAGGCTCTTGACACTCCATCGGTCCATAATCGCTTCTGTGCAACAACCGAGTGTGAGTTTTACTGGTAGTTCCCATTGTAATTACCCCTTTCAACATTGACATGTCTATAATCAGAGCAGCGGTTCTAATTAAATTTGTAATGCTTTTTTTATTCCTATTCTGAAAGTGGGTTTCCAATGATCCAGTAGATCGGAGGAGCGTAACAGTAGAGACTCGAGCATTAATTACCTTTCAGTTCAACCGACCGCCCATGCTGGCAATTCATCTTCATTCAGTATACAGGAAAAATTCCGCACACAAAGCGAGGAGGGAGGAGAGAAGGTGCATATTGTCGTTTTCAATTTTCATTGATTTTTTACTTTTAACTTCTACTTTTAAAATAGGGTCTATCAATTCAAAAAAAAAGAGCATAATTACTAGCCAAAAACAGGGTAGTCATGAAATCTCAGAGCCGATACGGTTATTCCGCAAGGGGAACTGGAATAGAGTCCCTTCTTAAGCAGAATTTATTCCTTACAAATTAGCCAAAAAACCCCTGCTTTATGCTGAGGATGAAGTCCCTTCACGAACACGTCCTCTCTTAGTAACAATGTTTTGTGCTGTGTGTTGGAACTCTTTTTTTTCCAAGACCATTTTCACTTCAACAAAATTGAGCTACTAACATAAAGAAGTTTAAAAGTTGGAAGAACTGCTTCGAAACAAGCTAGCAACAATTTTTTAAGACCTTCCTTCAGATTTTGTCTTTTTCGTATACAAAGTAATGCATGAGTTCAGAATGTCGTTGTCAGGTTGCCTTCGGATACGGTATACTGCATAATGAACGGACATACGTCTACATGCAAGACGATCCATGTCCTTGTGAGTTGAAACATTTTCTTGGCTCAAGCTTCGAAATGGCGGCCCTACCTTGAAATAATTGGCTTAAAATATGTTCCATGAATTCTGAGCCCAACGCCGCCTGAATGAACCAGTCCTCCACAGTTGACGGCTTATCGGGATTATTATAAATTCTTTTTTACAACTTCGCACCCACATATAAGAAGGTTACACCTACCTTCTAGTTTCCCTGTTTGTAAGTAGGTAGCAGCTCAAAAGTGCGTTTAGATTTTTAGCAATTTCTGAAAATTTCTCCGCATATAGTGGCAATTTTGATTGATTCCCACAGTCTCCGTTTCATTTGCCAAAGTGCAATTACGACCCAAACTACTGTAATTTTTAAAATGTGGAGATTACCTCATGTATTGATTGTTGAATCAATTGTGTTGATATCCCGTAGAAGCAATAGACCCTCCCGCTGATTCCTAGCCCAAGACCGGTTTTTCTTCGGTAACCGGCCTCATAGCTTGAAAAACGGATCGCTCACATTTATCAGGGGTTCTAAATCTTGCCCCTTATCTAAAAAAAAAGACGAAACAAGCCGATCGTCTGCTATGAATGTGCTCGAGAGAGTGCAAGGGTAGCTTATCGCCATTGCAGCACTTGGAGCCATTTGCTACCACATCCAACTTGCATATGTGGCTTAAGTCTCGTCCGAATACCCCATCCATGTTATTTCCGTCATGGTAATCCCGTCCAACCTCTATTTTCCCTACTTTTGAGGAGCCATATTTTTCTCGAGATCGACGAATTCTCTCGCTTCCTTCACTACCGATTAACTATTCCCAATCTATACTTCCGCTTCTCGAATAAAACGGGTACCTCAAAATTATCGTGAACTGTGCCTCTAAGAAAGCTGTTCGAACTTGAATCATTCCCTCGATTTTTTTTTCAGCCCCACTTCGCAGATCATTTGGCTGAATCTGCTTTTGAATTTGCTTACAATATTGATGTTGTCAATAGGCTCACTGAAAATTGACTTCTGTTCTCCTTAGAATACATGATAATGGACATCATAACGGGCAGCACTTTCTGGCCATAAGTTGTAATGGTCGAAGTCAGTGGGCAGGCTATTATGAGTCAAAAAAAGAAGCCTGCAATATTATCTGTAATAAATTCACTGAACTGCAACCACTAGTTCACTGGTATTTGAATAAATGTCTAGATAGTAAATTGATAGGGCACATTGAAAAGCGTAGTGAAGATGTCGTAACATCTTATATTTTTCTATACATAATACATAGAACATGAAGAAAAACGTCTTTTCAGATCAGATTGTCATTGTGGGACCACGTAAAGATGGAAATGGTCAGTACGAATACGTCGTTTTATCAAACTGGGCACGATTTCCGTTGATCGGCTTAGTAAGAGACATACGTGTCTTCTACAGTAAGTACAAGGATCAGCTGGAGACCGAACTCGAGAAAGAAGGCTTCATCAACGACTATTCCGGGTAATCCTTCTATATGTAACTCGCCAACTGTGTGTGTCGGTGTGTGTGACAAGGTAAGATGTGTCGGGATCGAAGATGTTCGGTGGTTGGAACTGATAACAGCTGTTAAGGGTTGATAAGAAGCTGTAGATGGCAAGATTCAGTGAGTAGGTTGGGTATGGGGTCAATATTCCAGACTTGAAACTTTGAAGAGTGGTGTGGGGTGTTATGGGTTCCTAGATGGTCCGTACAAAGGATAAACAACGGGTGTGGTGCAGTAGGAACGAAATTGTCGCGTCGCGGCAAAAGACGTCGCGCGCGAAGGAATGTAACAGAATGCAGCAGCAAGTAGTAAATTCAGGAACAAAGTAACTAGTAGTAGAATCATGCCTAAAATAAGGATCGTGTATGAAGAATGCTGGAGCTGTAATAACGGCGAAGGAATGTTCCGCGACAGCCGCGTGCGGTGAATCGATTACAGAAAACCGTTCCTACTGCCCTTCTCCCGGAATTAAGCGGGTACCAAACCATACCTACTAGAATGCTGTGTTGAAACATTCTCTTCCTATTCAAAATAATTTTCGTTTCAGATCATCCAGCATTCATTACGTAGACTGGTCCAAGTGTAGGCCGGCCACGCCAGTAAGCTATATCCAAAACGTTCTCACTGAATTATTCGGGTAAATGTGGACAGCCACGATACTGCAGATATCTCAACACTCTCGAACAGACACTATTGGCCGAGAAATCTGATGTGTATGTACATAACTTATGAGATACAGCAGTAACATTTCTAATGCATCCCACTTATCATATTTCGAGTTGTATAACTAAATGAATTATTTTATAGACTGAAAACAGTCTCGCTCAACCCTATTCCTTCATTTTTTGCCGCAGTTCGCATTACAGAGGCGCGAGAGTAAAGTCATACATGGTTGGGGTCAACTCGTGGTCATCATCACGGTTGCTCCTACCAATTTTACTCCCTCAAACCTTCGATAATTTTTTTGGAGTTCTCGGTGATGAGTTTTATAATACATGGTTCACTCAGTTTTTTTTCCAAAGAAGCTTTTTGAACTGTTTTGTTGACTTTTCCTGGTGGCTTTTCATGGGCTGGAAATCACCACCTTTTCCACTGCCAAAGCAGACAATTCCTACCGTATTTCTGTCGTTGTCCCCGAGCTGATGAGATTCCTCCTGTTCAAAGGCCACGTTTGAAACAGTCGATAGTAACGAATCAATTTTAGATGAGCCACATAAGGAAGTAGAGCTGCTGAAGCGCCCAAGATCATGGTATCGAATCCCGAATCGGTTCTCGTCCAAATCGACGGACTCCTTCATCCCTTTGGAATCAGATATTTAGTGCCAAACTCGTCTGGGTGAATAAAAACACAGTGTAAAGAGCGACCCTTCCAAAGAGCTTCCATGATCGTTGTATATGTTGAGCATGCATGAAGGAGTATGGCCTGAATTAAAACTCCATGCTGATCATTCCCTTGAGGCAATCATGCCTTCCATCGCTCTACGATCAATCTACAGGCACCATAAACGTTTGGAAGGCCTGAAACTTGTACAGCTACTGCCGCTACTAAGCAACATATAGGCCAGTCACCCATCCAAACCCCAAAACGTTTTCCTGAATGGTTATAGGATGTGCATCACACACCGTGAACTCCCTCGGTTTCGTCCTTACGGAGGCCGCGGTATGGCTGCTTTCATAGTCCGCCGGCCGGCGCGCGAGCGACGCGCAAGCGATCCGGCGAACCGGCGCGCCGGCTGACGTAAAACGAATTAGTTCGTATAAGAAGTCTACGTCTGTTGCATTTTATTTCACAGTCAGAACCCGACCGTAAAGAATCTGACCGTGAAATAAAACACAACAGACGTAAATCTCTCACACGAACTAATTCGTTTTACGTCAGCCGGCGCGCTGGCTCGCCGGCTCGCTGCCGGCGGGCTGTGATAGCAGCCTATCAGGGNCATCACACACCGTGAACTCCCTCGGTTTCGTCCTTACGGAGGCCGCGGTATGGCTGCTTTCATAGTCCGCCGGCCGGCGCGCGAGCGACGCGCAAGCGATCCGGCGAACCGGCGCGCCGGCTCGCTGCCGGCGGGCTGTGATAGCAGCCTATCAGGGAAAATCACTAGATAACAAGTTTTACAGATGCTTCAGCAAACGAAGACGCAGTGCTTCTAGTAACTGCCTCTGTTTTGCAAATTAAATATATCTGACCTAACAAGCTATAAAAGCATTAACATGTGGATATGAACACAGGTCATAAATAAACTTTATTATTTGCATAATTCTTACATGAACAAATTATATATTTCATATCACAGATATCATACAAGAGTCATTCGGGAGGCACTAGTAGGGAGTTAGTCAAAGGACAGAGATTCTCATATTTCATACATTTACTATGTACAACATATCCCGTTTTCAAATAACACAGAACATCGTTACATGAGATCGGGTCGTTGCATACTGCGCAAACGGCTTTATCTTCGATCTGAAAAATGCTTAGTAAGTCAGAACTTGAATATCAGCTATTAATAAAAGGAAAGGGTATACATGGAGGGATGGAGAACGTCCGTTGCGCGCGTCCATCGAAAGTAGGTCACCCCATCCTGTTCGCGCGCGGCGCATCCCACTGGTCTTGAGGCGACATTACAGTACCCCCAAGTGTCAGGGGAGCCGGTCGTTTGGCGCGATGGGCGGGGTCGCGCCGCCCATTTGAGGCGGCGCGACTCCGCCCATTGCCCCTTCAACTCATTCAGATCGCGTAATCTTCTGCTCTCCTGTCCTCTATAGGTGTTGGATTGGGCTTCTATCATCTATAGAGGAGAGGATAGCGGAAGATTACGCGATCTGAATGATACACCCAGTGTCAGTGAAGCGAACGATTTGTATCGACCGTGTTATCATCTCTTTGAGATGACTGTCGTGGGCGACATCCGTCAAGTATCGCGGGCTGACTTGCCGCACGCGACGGCTGCGGCGTGACCTAGTTCCGACGGACGCGCGCAACGAAGCGCTTCCATGGAGGAACATGATAAAAAGAAGGGTGAGGAGAGGAAGTGGGGAAAAGGTCGAGAAAGAAATTGAGAAGCAAAGAGAGCAGTGTTGACAAGGTCCGCTGATCAAGGTATCGCACCCGGATTGTTGCACACCCAGCTCAACCAGACCTTTCACCACCTCTAGGTCGGTGAATTTGTGTCAGACTTGTCCGAAAAAATGATACCACTGACTTTCATATCGTTTTCTAACGCAGGTTAATGTATAGACCAAATACACATTCAAAAGCCACTACGACTTTGAATAGAAGTCGAAGTATTGTGCACTCCTACAACGCAGTAAAACCTTCCGAACGATTGGCAGGCCCCTCAAAAAAAAGAGCGGTTTCACAACTGATTATCTTCTACTGCAATGATAGACCAGAATACACCGACTTGAGAGTCAAATCAACAAAACAGCTTCACGAAAACTGAGTCCAATATGCCGAGCTTTGTTCGTTCCGAAGAAATGTTGAATTGATTTCAGGCGAGTCAAAGAATTCTCAACCTAGAGACTACCTCGAGCCAGCCCACAACAAATTAGCACTTTTATACGACCGCACAAGTCTAAGACTTAGCACACGACTCTGGTGTCCATTAGCCCTGCAAAACTCAATTGATTGACTTCATGTGCCTGGCTACCCACCCCATGTACCGAAACAGAGTCTGCACCTTGCGTGGTGATAGAAAATTCGGGAAAAGCGCATATAGGTCGGAATAAGCGAAAAATTCGAAAACTGGGGAACTAAAGAATCGGACAGTGATGAAACGATGACGAGTTTGGACAACTCTCTCCCCTTTTCCTTTTTTTTACGTCTTAGTAACAGTTCCAAATTAGTGATGATTCTCGTTAGGTCACTTGATCTCCGACACCTGGATTTAACAAAATGCAAAGAAAATGAGTGGCTGACCAGAGGATCGTATCTACTCCACCATGCTATGTCACGAATCTCCTCATACGCACACTGTTCACACTACCATAGAACAATCTAGAGACAGTTTGTCAAATCATAACAAAACCATAAAATCATACCACAATCTTTTCATTCGGAAGATAGTATTTTTCCATTTCCGCACATCTTTCAAGTAAACTTTCTTTATAGCGAAGCATATATTGCTCCTGCTGCTTCTTTGCCACTGATCGCAACAGGAAATACGATACCTTAATGAGAAATTTTATGACATCGTGATAACAGTGAAACTTTAAAAAAATCTAAAACCACTCACAAATAGATAAAAAAAAGTTCAACAAGGAAGAAACCAAATCCATTCAAAGGACATCAGTAATCATCTTTGAAACTGAAGAAGTGAACTGAAACTACCTGATCAATCGCTGTTGACTCTGGCAGAACGCTTATGACTTTTGATGGGTCGACGGCATCACCCATACATTTAAGTAGCGAACAGATACGTGATTCAGCACCGTCAACTGCTGCAAACTCTGATCCCCTGAAAAGAGTATGACAAGCGAAAAAACTGAACTTCGGAACCATCGAACCACCTACCTATCTTCCAAGAATTTGAGAAGATTCAAGCATATATCCGGCTGTGTCGGTGAATAATGAGAGCAAATCAATTCAGCTGCGTCGTAGTCGTTATACAATTTCACCACCTTATCAAGAATATCGCCAGCTGACTGCTGAAACATTAAAATTCCAAAGTGAATAACTGCAACGACACGAACTATTAGTTTTTAACGCAATTTTCGCCCTTTCCAGTAATTAGTGCGGAGGTGGTGTGTGATGCAGTAGGAACGGAATTGTCGCGTCGCGGCAAGAGGGACGCCGCGCGCGAAGGAATGTAACAGAATGCAGCAGCAGGTAAGAAATAAAGGATAAAGAAACTAATAGTATGATCATGCCTAAAATAAAGATTGTATATCGACTGAGCTGTATGAAGAACGCTATAGCTGTAATAACACGAGCGAATGGTCTGCGACAACACGTGGGGCGAACCGATTACACAAAACCGATCCTACTGCCCGTCTCCAAAGGTAATTCAGTACAAAGGGATACACTATTAGACGCGTGATTCGGGTATCGAATCTCAAGTATATACCCCCCCCCCTACCTCCCAGAACCATAGTCTTCCATCCCTCCCAAACTCTTCTAGTAGGATAGAGACACTGTCTGCTGTACATCGGCAGGTCACCGTATTCCATTTTACAGGACACATAGCATTCGGAACGCTGATGCAATTCTGTTTGGAAGTCGAATTTAGGGCTAGAAATATTATTAACAAGCGCCACAAGACCTGAAACCTTCATAAACCACCACCTTCATAAACCTTCATAGACCATAACCTGGTACCACAGTACATCGCGTTTTTAGTTGAGGACCATCTTTTTTTCAACATCTGAGGAAAAAATCAAATTGGAATTAGGCAACTGGAACAATTTGAATAATAAGATAAAGGGTAATTCTCGCTGGCTGACAATAGCCTCTCAAGGGAGATGGGCAGTAGGAACGGTTTTGCGTAAGCGATTCGCAGCACGCAGCTGTCGCGGGCTTCGTTCGCCGTCATTACAGCTCTAGCACTCTTCATACAGCCCCATCGTATGCGATCATTATTTTAGGCATGATTCTACTGCTAGTTTCTTTTTTCCTGTATTTCTTGCTTGCCGCTGCATTCTGGTACATTCCTTCGCACGCGGCGTTCCTCTCGCCGTGATGCGACAGTTTCGTTCGTACTGCACCGCATCCGCCTCTAAAAGGCAGTGAAAAGATATTTTACATATTAGATGTATGTCTGTTTGATCAGAGTTCCCACCAAAGAAGCCGACTGAATTGATATTGGAGCCAATGTTTGAGGCATCCCTTTCGATTCCTTTGGCACACCCTATCGCAAGCCATAGAAAGTAAACGTCATCCAATTTGAAGAGAGAGGTCAGTACACAATCAAGAAGAGGAGGAATGAACACAAACCCGAATCGGTCGCATCCTAGCGAAGGAGTTATTCAAACGAAGCAATCGAAGACAATAACAAACTTACACTACTGTCACACAAGAGCCGTTCTACACCACATTCTGCAGGAATCTTATCGTATGCGGCACTTCGGTCAGATACGCTCATTTTCAAAAGTAAACGTCGAAATCGATGACGACAACTGAGGTCTGAAAAAAACTCTTGAAGCCTAAGCCTAGGTTACCTAGCTAGTTTCCTTTGCGAGTCATGAACTCGCAAAGGAAACTAGCTTTCAAAATAAAAGCCGCAATCATCGTATTGACTACCTCCCGCTTTTATATCCTTGATGTAAATGTCGCACAACTCCTTTGCTACGTCTTCACAAAATGGAACACTTTCGAGATAGAGTCGCAGAAGTTTAGCGTCACCACTAAGCATTTCTCTCACTGTCATATGATCCAATATTTTTGTAGCGACAATAATCTGGAATGACTGATAACATATATAGGTGATAGAACCATGACGAAAGTTGAAAAAAAATATATACTCAAAACCTAATACGCCAATGTACCATCAGGTCACTAATCTCAAACTCATTCGATATACGCTCGACACAGTAACCGCATGCCTATACCACCACGCCAAGAAGCAAATATAAACTTGTTCGAAAACAGTGAAGGCGAATGTGTAGCACTGAGGGTCTGTAGGCTGTATACTGCTGGCTGCTTTCATATTCCACGATTTGGCCCGCGACCGGTCGCGCGACTGGTCGAGCGACTGGTCGAGCGACTGGTCGCGGGCCAAATCGTGGACTATAAAAGCAGCCCTAACCGGATAGGAAGTATTATAAAATGCTTTGTCCACATCAATGGCAAGTGTGTGAGATCACCAGAAGAGAGAATTAAAAAAGGATACCTTCATGCAGCGTTTCGGAGACACAGGAATCATCCAGGTCAGCACATCTTGAAGTAGTTTCTTGTCCGTGATACTGAAACTTTGTTCATATCATTCAGTTAAGGGATGCAAAGTGAAAGAAAGTAGTACTAGAGGAAGGAAACAGAGAAAGATCGAACACACAAAGGCCATTAATCGAGGGAAACATCGTAGGACCCCTCTTGAATTTATGCGCCTCTCTTCTGTCCTGAGTGTAAATATCACGACTACTTCCCCGAGGGCACACTGTTTGAATGCAGACACTCCCCTGAAACTTGTACAAAGACCGGAAGGTATAAAAAACTGCGTATTGGGTATTTGAGTGACCACTGCTAATAATAGCAATAGCGGTGCAACATACCTTAGGGAATACGGTAGACTGGTCTCCCAAGGGTGGTCTAGCCTTACTCTCTCATGCATACGCAAAGATGAATTAAGTTATCAACTAATTCGCGCCTTATCTAACTCCCTGGTCTCTTCGGAAGAAGCAAGAGCAAAATGGTCCTGATTATTGGTTAAAAATATTGTTCAAATGTATTCTACGACAAAAAAAAACAATCATGTCAAAATTGAAGAGCTTACTATGAAATGCGTTCAATGATATCGTCAATATTGAAGGTGATGTCCTCCAATTCCCCACAACAGAGACGCCTCCAGATATCCCACGCCTTCGCAGACTCCCCTGCCAGCAGCCACATTTCCGCGGCGTAGTTATAGTTATCCGTGCTTTCCAGGAAATCAGCACTTCCTTCATAAATCGGATGAAAATTCTCGAGACGAAATACGTTTTCTAGCTTGTGATGGATTGTGAACAGTTTAAGAAGAGACGTATCAATACTCTAAAAACTTCATTAAACATCAGAACCATATAATTAACAGGAATTTGCCAACCGCTCGTGATGTTTGTGCAAAATGCAGATCCCGAATATGTAGTAGATACTCCTCCAAAAACTGATAGCCATCGGAGTCGTCGACATTGTCGCTCAATATGTTCTCACTGCTTGGCCATTCAAACAAAGAAATCACCTGAAAGTTATTGTTCATTATATTAAGCACAAAAACACTTGCGCCCGCTCTACCCCAGTGTTTTCCTCTAGGAGACGGGCAGTAGGAACTGTTTTCTGTAGTCGATTCGCCGCATGCGGCTGTCGAGGGCCATTCCTTCACTGTTATTACTCTAGCATTCTTAATACAGCTCGATCGATTGTGATCCTTATTTTAGACATGATTCTATAATTAGTTCCTTTGTTCCTGCATTTCTCACCTACTGCTGCATTCTGCTATATTCCTTCGCGCGCAGCGTTCCTCTTGCCGCGACGCGACAGTTCCGTTCCTATTGCACCACACCCGTTTTCCTCTCACTAGGAATTGCCTCAGATTTTTTGGCTAAGGACACCAATTCCTTCGAGTATCATTGGATTAAATATAGAGGTGAATAAAAAATAATACCTCATCCGGATTGACCTCTGTCGAAACAAATAGTTCGGCAGCTTTCTCGAACTTCCGCTCCTCCACGTATCGGAAGGCAATTTTTTTCTTCAGTTTGATGAAATCCTAGAAATGAATGGGAAAACTTCGATCAGGTACAGTTTGTAAAACTCTGCACAATGACAATACACAAACCACCAGACTGTCAACATCGAAACTCCGATTTAGTTTTGCCTGATACAAGGACATGGCTTCATCATAATCGCCATGAGTGAAAAGAGCATCAACCTATAAAATTTCATGTATATAGGTATGAAATAACACTATAACTGCTATAGGGGAGGAGTGATCAGCCTAAAACCTTTTAACAATAAAGATCATATTTGAGCTTGTCTGTTTGTGTGACTTTCTACTTTCTACACTACAGTACTTCAGCTCCTATTCCCCAGTTTCGCTTTTCTCGAGCACATTTTACCCTCAAGAACATTCGTCCTCTCATAAGGTAGTACCTAGCTCATCCAATTTTCTTTAAATCGGATTAATCTGCAGCCGTTTTCCATCTTCTCACAATAACTTTCTACTGAGGAAGCGCGCCGCCCACTGTGGGGAAGAGGGGGGAGGAGTCACCTAACATCTTCAAAAAAGCTCATTCAGCTTGGGACCCCATTATTATCCAATCCCTCCCAGCTCCTAAATAGTAGTTTTGAAAGGAAACCACGGTTGTTGGAGTTGTATGCCCCTTCTTCAGGATACCATTCAAACATCGTAGGTAAAGGTCTGCTTATTGTTAGTTTGATCGCGCTCCACATATCCTAAAGCTACCGAGCCTGTAGAGCTGATTCCACAGGTAACGCTCAATTTCGTGACACATAAGCACAATTTCAAGACTTTTCATAACAATGAGGATACTTGGGATAAACAATGCGCTCCCTTCGAATAGGCGCTTGTGAAGCGGTCAATCCATGGACGCACAGACTTTTAAGACTGACATGCGACTGTAGTTTATCACATCTGTGCATGCAACTTTTTTATTGGCAAAAGACAGCTAGCTGTTTGTTGTGACTTTTTTTGTTAGCTGCTCTTCAAAGCCTTGCGAGACCCAGCTGCCCGTAGCTTCCCATAGTTGGGAAACAGCTGGCAACTTTTGAACGCGAACCACATTATAGCCAGCATTCGGGTCTCACCAAATAAACACAAAGATAAGTTTAAGCTTCCTTTAGGATCTAGGAGAGCAACTTTACGAGGGGATTATCAGGACTTGTTTTTATTAGTACAATCTCGACGAGTAGAAGTCAAAAATCAAAGTCGTCTAGCTTCAACTAACCTGCTTCTCCAGAGATATCATGGAAACGTTGTAAAGCACTTGATTAGTGGCAACAAAGATTAATCCATCGAGTATTGAGAGCACTTTGGCATGTTCAGCCTTGATACACTGAGAAATCCGAGCGTTGTCAAGACTGCAAATAAATGTTTAAGAATTTGGCGGAAGCCACAACTTTGCCGAAAACATTTAAATTAGTAGTACGAAGTAGGTTACTGCGCGTGCAGAATTAAAGAAGTAGTATTGTAGGTCGAACTGAACATGAGCTAGCAATTCAAAGGAATAATATAGAAGACGATTACCTAACGATCATGATATCATCGGAAGCACGAATATAGACGTACGGGGAACAGCAAACCATTGCATCTACTGGCGTTGATGGAATGACTGTGGGAGGCCGAATTGAAACACCCTGCTCCGTCACGGATATGAGAAGCCCATCCATTCCAGCCACAAGGAATTCCTGCAAATGGCAACAAAAACTCGAACCCAATTTTGCTAATTTTAACAAAACAATCATTGCAAATTAGGATCACAGCAGCCAGCTTTCAGCGGACCATGTGCACAGATCACACGCGAACAGTGATAAGTACCTCTGAATGTACAACATGGAGAAAAAACCAAATTAAGCATAGCTGAGCAGCTGCTTTGAGATATCATCACCATTCAACTTAGCATTACTGAATTACTATCTCATATTTTCAAAAACATGGCCGAATTCTTCACGAAGATGGATTTGGTTTAAAAGTGCCCTCAAAGATAGCTTGACTCGCTGAACACGAACATCACATTGTAAGGCATGAAGTGGCAGGCGTCCGTGCCCCAGGTGTCGGCCTACTCAAGATGAAACGTGATGTTATACCAGTGATTTTGGTGTTTAGTGGGTGGATTGAGCCCTCAGCTTCTTTTCGGCCGAATTGGGGAATCAGCGATTCGGCGCAAGTGCCTGTGGCGTAGGTGCCAGGATTTCCCAGCCATACGAATGCAGTATTTATGTCCAAAACGAGTCAATCTAACTTGAGGCGATGAATTTGGCATACATGCACAGGCAGACCTTTCGTCTTCTCCCTCATGTATATCACAAAACCCTAAAATATAAGAATCGTTGCTTGGAGGTGGAAAATCGGTCTTGTAAAGTATATAGGCTGAAACAGCGTTACAACTTTCACAAAAATTCGCGACATCTGAAGTGCTTATTGACTATGGGAATGATTACAAAAAAAAACTAAAAGTAAATCCCAAACCATATCAACGCAGCAAATCTGTGGTCGTATGACTTGTGGATCGAACGGAAACAACGGGATTACCGACTTTGTAGTTATATTGTAAATGCTGTACATACCATTTGCCGCAAAGCAGATCGTCAGCCTAAAAAGCATTTTTTGCATGAGAATTCGTAAAAGGGTGGCTGCTTCCTAGCGACCATACTTTTACGACCATTTGGCGAGCGACCGGTCGCGTACCTATCGAGTGAGCGACCGAGCGACCAGTCGCGCGATCGGTCGCTCGCCAAATCGTGGACTATGAAAGCAGCCGATGGGAATATAAGCAATATCGCCATACCGTGAAAACGCCATTGCGGATACATTTCCTTCCGTAGTCAACTTCTGCACAACTTCCATTTTGCCGTTACGTCGTTCACAATACTGAAGGTGCTTGGAGGTGGTAGCTACGGCGATTTGTAAGCAAAACGGATCATCAACTATTGGATTCGTATTCACAGCTATACATTGCACTGACGTTCGATTTGAGACGATCTTAAACACAACAACATAAACACAATTTAAGTATACCCCAAAACTCCATAGGTGAGAGCGGGAGGATTTTTCATTTCTACATCTTCATTTTCTAATCCTGGGGACTATAAGACATAGACCCAGGACCCTGTACCAGAAAACCAGGTGCTTCGTACGCTGGGTTCGTTGGTGGCATATCGTCGAGAATTCCCTATCTGCAGTAGTAGTAAATGAAGGAATAATCAGGAAATGACTGAATGTGCTTGACCGGGGCTCACGGACATTAACTCCCCACATCGGACATTATGACCCTGGTTGGTCAGTTCTGACGTTACGACCTAGGTCCCCCGGAAGGATCTTATGACCTTCGCCATTTGAAGTGTGAACCTGGTCGCGCAGTTTGGCTGCATTCATACTCCACGATTTGGTCCGCGACCGGTTGCTCGACCAGTCGCGCGACCGGTTTCGGGTCAATCGTGGACTATGAAAGCATCCCTTGCAACACTAGTCGCTCGGCTTAGGAATGATTTTACCTGTTTGGATGAAAGCGATGATTACGGTATAGAAATTGAGAAACTATACCACTCCAATCTATGGAATTCTGGAATGGAAGCTCTTAATTCATAAACGTTCAGAATACTAACCTCGAAAGATTCTAGTTCAAAATCAAATAGAATATTCTCACACAACACTAAAACGACACCAAGCGCCGAGGCGAACTCGATCTGTCGAATTGCTTGTTTCTAAAAATAACAATTATAAAAACGTCTTCATTGCGAGCAATTGGTGAAATAGAGTGATTAGAAAACATAAATTTAAACGATTCCCTTACAGTCGGCAGTTCGAAACTCCCGGCAACTTTGAAACGATTTTTTTGCTTTTTGATGTGTATGACATGACCAGTATTTGTGCCAAGGAATACTACAGATGATGACCCGCCAATCGCAATAATCTGAATATAAGAAAACGTAAGTCCCGAACAAAAAGTGGTCTCCAGTGAAATCTTCATTTAATTGGGTCCCAAACTTATTGCCGCGCGATCACGGTTAGTCGTGGCAGAACTAATCCTATTTTTCAGATTGAACGAGTACGGCTAGCAAGGGCCCGCGCCGACGCGGCGAGTTCGCTTAAAACAGCGCATGTGATGGTGCATCCTGACCCATTTCCAGCGTGACACCCTCTTAGTGACGTAACAGACGTCGGAAGTAGAACCGTTGAATAGAGATAGAATGCAGGGCGCATTCCCAAAAGGGGACTGATTAACGCCAGAAAACCGAGTAAATTTTTAATCAAAAAGGATTAGGAACAACATGACGCTATGGATCTGGTGTCCACATGACATCATTAGCTGGGATAGAATCGCAGTTGTTCACAGCACCATAAAGAACGCAACAAAGTTTCGACAGCTGTTTTTTCGGGACTCGAATGCTCGTTGGCGAAAGCCTACAGTGAAAACAAAAACAAAAACAGTTCGTAAGTACACAGCCGCACACGTTCCAGAACAACCCAACTTCTAGTTGTGTCATATTTGTGACTAGGCTCTCAATTTGGACCACAGAGGGAGTTTCAGCGGAAGAATTTTCACACTCGCTGGGGCTACACCTCTGGTTAGACGATCAGAGTAATTAGCGCAGCATGTAAAGGATAATACAACATGCACGCAGCCATGTAATTCTCAACAAATGGTAAAAAAACTCGAAGCACCTCTTCATCCGGCTTCAACTGTTTTGCGACTTCGCAGCAGATCGTCAACTCAAATTTTTCAACATCGGAAACACTACCACTCATTAGATGAGTGCTCTGAAACAAAGTGATTCACCTTTGTATTTGACTGTACAAACAATAACATCTATACGATAATATGCAAGCAGCCGCATAAAGCACCCCCCCCCCTGGGGGACGTACGATTCGTACGATTCCGGGTGTGCGCGGCAAATTGTGCGGCGAAATTCGCGATGATTCGAACAACTCCTGCGCCTATCACTGGGGCATAAACTTGAAGTAGAGTACTCTAGTAGGGTCGGACAATCCTACTTTACTTTACTTCAAATTTGGGCTCTAATGATAAACGCTGCAATCGTCCAAATCGCACCGAATTTCGCCGCGCAATTTGTCGCGCGCACCCAGAATCGTACGGATCGATACTCAGTCATTAAAATACAAGTCTTATGGGGGTCCAGTCCTTATCCCTAAAACGGAACACTTCAACCACCTATTACGATGTCTCCAAGCCTAACAGCGTAAATGGCCGACCATGTTTAGGATACAACAGGAAACCCGATGAAATGCTTAACAAAAAAGTTTTTAAACACCACTTTTCGACTTCTGCATGAAAGGATTCTTTGAAATTACGATGAAAATGCAGTAGGCCAAATTCTTCAAAAATACTACCACAAACTTCCCCAGAGCAATTTTAATGAGATCTTCGTATTTGAAAAAATTCGTAACTGAGCAAGCTCATCAAGGGTGCTATCTATTCCCACACCCCTCGCGGCCTGCAGTTACGTACTAATTGCAACTACAGTAATACTACGCTTAGTTTTATCCAGTTTCATTGACTGATCAGCGTGATCCGCATAGGGTTTATGTGAATAGATTCGCTCACTTTTCAGCTTCCAGCTTTTCACTACTGTTTTATACTAGCCCTCCAGATCGGTTTTTTTCTTCTCTATCTTCTTCTAATTATTCTTTTTGATCATTTCTCAACTGTACATCTATGAAATGCGCTTAGTTTTATCCAATTTCGAAGACTGACGAGGGTGATCACATGGTACTTCACATGAATGGATTCGCTCCCCATCAGGTTTTCACAACTTTGCAGCCTCTCCACAGCAATATTTGGAAAAATAAAAGAAGGGATATGCTTTCTTGACTAGCTTGCTCACAGACGGGTAGTCCTGAGGTTGAAGAACTTCACAGGAAATATGAGTGTCACTCATATTGTGAAAAATTCGTATCAATTCTTTGAGATACTTCGATATAGAAGCATTAGTACACATTTTATGTTCACACTATGTCTTTTCCTTCTTCTTTTCCCTTCCTAACAGTTCAGAATGAAATGAAATATTTAATGTATAAAGTTCGGCTGAGTGTTTCAGACAGCTCAACAATTAACTAGTTGGTGGAGGTGGAAGTGGTCTTCATTGAAACTAACTGTGCATACCCTCACTTTGTGGACGTGCACTCGAGGAATGATTAAAATGTAAATTGAAAGAAGAAAAGCCCAACATAAGAAACGAACTGAACAACCAATATCAAAAAAGTAGTGAAAAGTTAAAAGCTGAAAAAAAAGAACGAATCTATTAATATAAACCCCATCCGAATCACCCTAGTCAGTCTATGAAATTGGATAAAACTAAGCGTAGTTATACGGTAGTTGCAATTAGTACGTAACTGCAGGCCGCGAGGGGTGTGGAAATAGATAGCACCCTCTCATCAAGACTGGAGGGTTTTACAGTTCCCGACTTCATTTAGTAATTCACGACCCCATTGAATTTCCTACGTACGCTTAGATAAGGCAGGCACGGATGGTCTGATATTTAAGGCTCCTCCATATGCCAGAGAAATTAGAAAGAAAAAAGAGAGAAAGAAAAAGAAAGACGGAAGAAAAAAGAAAGATGAAAGCTCCGAAACGTGAGCCGAATCAAGAGTTTTTAAAAGCCTGATCATATCAGCTCGTAAAATTAATGTCACAAGTGAGAGTTCATGATAACCCCGACAAGAGGTGTTTAGCTGGTTGTGGTGTGCGCCAAGCGAAAGCCCGGCGCTCACGTATACACACCTGATGACTCATATAAGCAAAAAGTCGGCTCTGAATGTTTTTGTATTCTCTTCAGGTTGCATATTTCATACTCGCATAGAGGTGGTGAAGGGAGAAGTTCCTCTAAGAAACAAATCTAACGCACGCCTCTCGTCCCTAAGGAGGCTGTCCAACCGAAACGGATAAAACTCGGACAAAAGCCAGCTTCCATATGTGCTCGATAACGAGATCTAATGTGTTTCTACGATTCCACGTAAGGTCCATACTCGGTTCTTTTCAAGAAAGGACCAATGAACTCTTAAAGCCAGTTTAACTCCGAACGAGCGAGTGCTGCAAGTTGTTAAGAAAAAAGGCTCGAGCCGTAATCGTGGAAATTCTGGGTTCCCCATCAGCGCAGTTCTCTATTCCCACTGCCTCTCAAACAATTTAGAAATTTAGAAATTCTCACCACGTCTACCGTACCCCACACCGGCCAGGAGAGATCCCCATAGGAGCCTGAACCCTACCCATGGTGATATTATGCAGAATAGAGATCATATTAACATCACCAAAGCACGTAAAAATAAACAATCAATTGGCAGTGAATTTCAAATAAACTGTTGTGTTTGACACAACTGGAGCAACAAAGGAAAAACTTACATATAAAAATAGATTTATCGGAATCATAGACTAGAAAGAACGATTGAGACCATATGTAACAGTTAATATTGGCGAGATCATACAGATCAAAATGCTAGATATGATGAAATTAGTGAAATAATTTGGCATTTACTAAGCAATGAATTGTACAGACAAACACATAGAGTACCCAGAAAATTAGCAGCATCGGTGATACCAAACACCGCTATAAATAGAATGAAAATACACGTAGAAACTCTTAGATTAACTTTTCAATAGATAAAAGGAAACTAATCTTGACCTAATCAATAAAGTTGACCGTAAAGGGCTGACCAGAAAGGTATCACAAGTTGAAGATCATATGAGAGAAAATATTTTGACTAGAATTTGATACGCGTAGATGTTGAACGAACAACGACATCTACAACAAAGCAAAACACTGAACAGGCATGTTTGACATGGATTTTCAAGCGTGAGGATCATTCTTTCAAGTGGAGTCCATCTGATCGCGACAACAGGGCCAAGTAGCGTCAAAGCGGTGTATGTGTATAAACAGCATTTATAAGTCCATTAGATGGAAAAGAAGTGGCTAGGTAACGTCTTGAGGCTACACATCTACAAAATAGAAAAAAAGAGAGACAAAAAGAGATGATGAGAAAAGAAACAGCAAAGAAACGATCAAAATGCATCCTTCATTTGTTGGAAAGGTCGCAGCGCCAAGTCGACTGGGAGATCCACATTATACTTGTGTAGACCTTCCAACAAAGTGTACAACTCTTCACAGCCTGAAGAAAAACAAATATGACTTCCTAATTAAATGGTACTTGTTTACATAAAAAAAGAGCAGGTTTACAAGTCTCCTGCTGCAAATTAAGAATTAAGAAAGAGTTAAGAAAGGGATTTTAAAAGCTGCTCAAAAACTGGTTGGAAACCATTTTCACGTAGTTTCACGTTCGAGTTTCACTAATAAGGAATAAAGGCAAGAAGGTTTTGTGCACATACTGATCTGATCAGCTTACAAATTACATGTAGAAAAATCAGAAGGAAATTTTGAATAAGGAGTTCCTTTGAGAGAGAGGGGGCAAGATTTACATTAGGCTAAATATCACCTCTGAGCAAAAAATCTAGTCACGGATAAGAACGTTGTAAATTTACAAATACGTAAAAATAATAATAAATAGATCAAATAAAATGAAAAGTGATAACTATGTTAACAGTCCACCTGTTCTAGCAACATAACTCCAGCTGTTGTAACACATCTCCACAACATGACGGGTGCGGAATATTATTCTGTAATTTGTGGGTTCGTTTTAACAAAGAACGTATTCAACAGTTTGAAGTTCAATGAAAGAACCACTAACCGAAGCCAAGCAGGGAGCTTTTTCTCATTCATAGCAGCCGAAACGAATGCTTTCCATTGAGCGTCCTTGGACCTACGCAAGCGAGCATGAGAGGAAACAATATTCTCAATGGTCGTCAGCAAAATCTGTTGAGACAAAAAAAAATTAATATCGTAAACGAAGAACCTTTTATATAAAAACATTCACCTGTTTTGAAGTAATGCTTTTGCCTGCAACATTTTCGAGCTTGAAAGATTGGCTGAGCTTCCGCACAGGTGCGTCACTTAGTTCACGACCATTTTTAGAGCCATAGAAATATAGCACGACATCCCATATGTGTTGTAATGGCGTAGCTTTGGACACTGATAAAAATAATAAGGACTACTACGGAAACTATGGTTTTCTGAAATCACTTCTACTATACGAAATTGGACTTACGACTAGCGCCATTCCTTGTTACAAAACATCCCAATCCAAGGGATGATGGTAAAGACCGGTGTGTGACCGTTTCGCTCAGCATGCCATGCTCCAAGAGAGCCTTCAGAGATGGGCACAACTGCCTTCTTACAACAGACACGACTTCTTCTTCAGATCGCTCGAAAATCTCCTACACAGGAAAGTATTTAGGAGAACCTTAACAGCAAAGAATTGATGCAAAATTGAGTTTTACCAGAGCCCACATCGCAGAACTTACTTAAAGAGTTGACATATCTCTTCCTTTCCTTAACAACGATCAGGATCAGATGTGGAAAGCAGGCCATAGAGGGGGGGGGGGGGGTAACTCGGAACAAGAAGGGGGACATTTGTGCAAAAAAAAAACGTAGATATTACTCTTTTCACAACATATTACAAACATGTTTGCCGTTACCGAAGCACTAAGGCCTCGGAAAAGGACTCATCTGAGAGTTAGCAGTTGTCGACAGTTACTGGGATTACTCAAAAAACGTTTCGATTCAGAAAAAAAAAACAGCAATCACGCATTTCAATGGAATATTGGCAAAACATTACGGAACACAAACTTACATCATTGACGACATCCATTTCCAGTAACTCCTTTTCACCCGATGAGCCCTCGATACTTAACAGCGTGTATTTCTCCAAAACTCGTTGGGTTGCATCAACCGCTAATTGCAAACGTGCTCTTTCATCACTGAAAAAAGAAGTAACAGTACTAAGTAAAGCTTTACAAACCTATTCCGAACCGAATACTTGTACAAGCACATCGTATATTGTCCCACTCGCAGGAACAATATAAAAATATCAGCTTCAGAGGATAGCTCGTACCCGTAGTGATTTCCTCGCAGGGTATTCTTGAGTTGGTTCTTTTGGAAACGTTGCCCAGAGCCGCCGATCAGCCCGAAGAAGGAACTCGATTTCGGTTTGCTTGCAGTAAATTGCGATGACGCGATTGCCTGTATTCCAAGTATTTGTTGAATATCAAGTGTCGACGATTCAAGCAACACACCAAGAGCTCACTTTAGCCGGTGACCCATCCGCAGAACTATTTTCCTTCTGCAAGTAACTCACGAATCTCTCAAGATCAATAATTTGTGTTTGTAGTTGTTCAACGAGCTGTTGCTTTTCTTTGAACGGGTTTATAAGCTGAAATAATCAGAAATAATTTTAAAATGGTTTGGAAATAGTAAATAGCGGGCAATAAGGAGTTGAAGAGAATTGAGCTACCTGTTTGAGAGCGTCATCAACATGCTTTTGAATATCGGCCATCGACATCTTGTCCAGCTCTAAGTTCAGGGACATTTTAGCATGCAACTCGTCCAGTGCAGCTTTCTAAAAATGATTATAAAATACAACCCAGAGTCGAAAGGATGGCAATGCTACAAGGTGTAGTAAAAGATTAACAAAGGAATAGTCACCTGTTTTTGTAAAATCAAAGTGCTAGGCATATCGCCCTCGCCATTTTCGTAGGCTATCCGCTCCAGGTCTTCAATTTGCTCGCGTAATTGTTTCAACAACTCATTTTGCCTGCAACCAAATTTTGAAGGAAAAAAATCGGTTCTCACAACACAATCATAATTACTACAAACTACTTTGAAAAAAAGTTGTGCATAAGGTGCATTTAGACACTGTCGATTAAGATACAAGTAAAAAGCTACGTGGAGCTAGCAAGATTTACTGCTTCACTACGTTTTTAGAATACGACACAGTGAATCAGTGGCTGCTTTCATAGTCCACGATGTGGCCCGCGACAGGTTGCGCGACTGGTCGAGCTACCGGTCGCGGGCCAAATCGTGGATAAAGAAAGCAGCCAGTAAGGAGCAGCTTACGATTGGTCCCTGTAAGCTATTCACCACTCATGCGCGAGCAATGCGCAAGCTCAGCGTTACAAAAGGATTCACCATCCGCTAGACGTACCTTTGCTTTTGTATTTCCAATATCTCGCCCTCTTCATTTTCGCTACGCAATTTTTTCAACTCGTTCATATCCGCACATCCTTTGAAAGCAAAATCCTGCAGGTTTTTCAGAAGTGCCTGAAATTATGAATGTGTGAAGTAGAAGCAGAACTTTTCAAGCCTAAAGGGAGCTGTTCTTCTAGATTAGCAACAGCAAACCTTGTTCACTCTCGAAGGCGCCCATTCGTTACCCTCGCTTCAATTTGATATACACTGAACAACCTCTACTTTCTATTAATCTCTACTTCAGATTTTTTTCTCCGTCTATTTGGACTACCCATCATTTCTTTCGTGCATACTTTCACGCTTGTTCATCTTTGGGAAGTGGGACCCAACAATATGTGAGCAGTGCAAGCACATGCCATCTGCAACCTCATTTCAGGCTACTCTACCTCAAAACGACCTATCCACTCAATGTGCAGAGCGAAAATGATGGAGACTGTCTTTGCGCTTAAACTTTGGACAATTGCATATCATGAAAACGACAGCTTCAATATCATAATGCTCTATCGTTAATGTCATGAAATCTCAAGTTTTCAAATATGCTTTCAAAGTTTCCACCTGATGTCCAATGTCTCAGCTCTATTCCAATTCTCGGCAGTATTATCAGCAATTGCAACGAATGGCTGCTTTCATAGTCCACTATTTGGCCCGCGACTGGTCGCATGATCGGTCGCGGGCCAAATAGTGGACTATGAAAGCAGCCAATCCTGGGTAAAGCGGCAAAAGGAAAAGGCACAAATGGAACAGATGCCTAGCACATTAAAATTCTGCATCAAACAGATAAGTTACAAATGGGATACGGAGCGAAGCTTTAAGCAGAGATTATGGCAGAAAAACTATCCAACTCTGCCGGAATTTGTAATACCTGGCATTATGGACGGCCTGTCATGTTTGAAAAGCAGAAAAAGTAATCCCCGCTGCTGGGAGTCGAAGGCTTCCTTTTTTACCCAGGGTGTATCATGAAACTCCCTTATGACCAGAGGCAAACGAAAAATCATGGCAAAGAACTATGGCCCAATGATACAGATAAGAATAGGGGTTAAAAAATCAAATTCCTCACATTACTGATAGGTAATCTATCTCACGCACTCGGCATTTACCACCAAACAGAAAAGCATAATTGATTCAGCCGTCATAAGAGCCTTTTCGTAATAGTAACCTCAAAGGTCACTCGATAAAGACCGAAACAAAAAAGGATGAGGGCATCGGATAGCTGTTCCCCTGCACCTTACTCAAGTGCCGACGTTAGTAATCAAGAAAGGTAGTAGCATAACGACGAAGGATATCTGGTAAAGTCGTTACCTCTCTGTCTTCTCCTTGTGCCTCTGCAATCTGTTTGAGCCGGAACTGGACTTGAGCGAAGTGTGAACTCAAAGAGAACAAGGAATTGTTCAATCGTTCTTGTTCTTCCTCCAATTGTTGGACGCGAAGGGCGTCATTGAGGCTGAAGAACACGAAATAAGTGTAATTAGAGCGGCGCAAATTGAACGGTACGAAAGAGTGCACCTCGAACAGTTGTCGTCGCTGGATGATAATCTAGCGGAACGCCAGTCTGTGTCAGAGGTAGTATCAGCATCTGGAAAGCGTCTTGCCTCTTTGAAACTCCATGGAACAAATAATGAAAAACTAGTGTAGGGGAATAGAAATATTTAAGGTAGTTGGATGCAGGCCGGGAGAGAAGGGCGGGAAGAGGATAATGGAAGAAGATCACTAGAAGGAGTGAAGTAAACAAGGACGGTATATAAGGGGCAACTTCGAGAATAACCAACACTTTTCTCACCAGTGAGTGTACGAATACCCCAACTACTAGCTTATCAAAGCAACAATGCCTGAAATACTAGTTTTCTGGTCAAACTAATCATTAAGGGCATTGTTTTCATGACTTCCGTTATAAGAACAGAATGCTGATTTGGCTCGGGACACCGGCCTTGCCTTTCGAGGGGGCTTTACGACCATATGGGCAAACTTGCTGAACAAAAATCCATTATTTGAGAAAATCTTAGGGTTTCCCTGGCGATGACACCATCCCTGTGCTATTCACAGCGTTGTCTGAAACTGAAGAGTCCAGGTTCACACGCAGAGGGTTTTTGACGGATAGTTTTTTTAGAGTCAAACTGTTTGTAACAGAAGACCCCAAGAGGACGGAAAAGAGCTTCTTGGATACAAACGTGGGCTCTTGCCGCACTTATTTCCCTCAAGGACTCGTACCACAAGAGCCAGACCATGTTGAAAGGAAAGAGCTTCTACTGATCGGCTGCCCTCAATAAACGTTCCTCATTAAACGTTTCGCTGGTCCGTTGGTAAACAAACCGGAATACGGGCTACTTATCCCTGAACCCTAATGTAAGGCCTGGGACTCAAAAGGAAGGGTAGAAACCGGTTCTGACTTGAAAGTTCATGACTATTGCTCAGCAGGTGTCAAAATGTTTTGTGCCCAGGGGATGATAATTGAGAACTTCAAGTGGCAGGGAGAAACGAATCTTGGCAAGCAACCTCAACCTCTGAACACTACAAGTTTCCAGTGCAAATACTTCAAGTGTCAAAATCCCATTTTGATACTTAAGCTTTCTTAATGCGCTCATTCAGGCAAATCCTCAACTAAGCCGAGGCCACAACAGCGTTCACAAACTACGATTCAACAAAGTGCAACTGAAAAAAAGAAAAGAAATAAGAAAACAAAAAAATGTTATCAACTAAATCAGTTAATGGTGATACAATATGAAAAAATAAAAAGAAAATATAAATTTTACTAACCATCGTCATTACACTGCACAGTGTTCAATGAGCCGAATGCCTGATCTAAACCAGCGAGGCAGTCACCCTCATTTGGATTTGTCATCATCCTGGAGACAAACACGATAAGATTAGCAGTTGGATGTGAAAGGAAGGACGTAACAACTCGACAAAAGCAGGACCATTACTAAAGTAGTAACAGAGAAACAAGGCAACACAAGGAAGGCACGATGCCGGTCAACGTCATTCATGACGACATACTGCGTCACACGGAGGCACGCACGACATCGAATCGATTCATTCGCCTACGCATTCATGTCCTTAGTGGGGAAGCCCACGACATTAGGCTACTAATGAAAGGGCTGTGGCTTGCCCCCAAACAGCCTGACAAATGGGACCCTCGGTGGGCGAATGCTTGTTCTTGCTACTAGTAAAGTACTGGACTACAAGTATATCCTCCAAAATGCTGCAGTGGTGGGGAATCGTACAGAAAGCCGGATCACATGGTTGCGATTTACAGAGTTCCACTGAAAATTGGCCTCAACCAGGTCTACCAGTATTTGATGTCTTTATGGGCGGAGCCGTTCTGCGTTGTTGGGCAACACATGGGATACAGGGAAAATGACTGGCTAAAGATTGCTGGGAGGTCTCATAAAAAGTTGTCATTGTGGTGTGGCTACCTAAGGTGGTTTCCCGAGGTTGGACCTCCAAACGTGGAAATTTCCATTTTGGAATTTTGCGTAATGGCTCCCAAAGCCAATTTCAGGAAGCCTTAGAATCAAAAGAATTTATCAAAATTTGTTTTGGCGTCTTAATGGCTTGGATTCATCAATACAAACCTACCAGAAGCACACCAGCCAACTATTAAAGCTATGAATTTAGAAAAATGCATTGATGTTTCTGATATGTGCATACTCAAAACATCAGGAGGTCGCAACGAAGCCTGCACTATTTGCTAGCTGACAGATTCCCAGACTTCGGATTGCTTTTCCTTCGCAGAATTCATCGTAATGGGTTTCTAGAACAGCAAAAGGGCCTTCCAAAAATGTGATCGGAAGGGAGGGGCCCACGGGAGCAACGAGAGACGCAAGGTAGTGCGCCCCATTGCGAAACCGCAACGCCTCTGAACGAGCAATAAGCAACTACGATCGGGCCGGGCGTCGTGTCTATAGTACCTTATAGAAAGAGTACGGTAGTGGAAGGTGACCGCTGTGGGACTAATCGCGAAGATCTGCGTCAGTCGATAGTGAGATTGTGAATGTGGTGGATGGTGCTAACCTTCTTGAACGGTTTTGCCGATCATACCAGTGCCAAACGTCACCAAACCTACACACATGCGTGGAGCTAACTCTTCATGTTAAATGCAGTCAGAGGTAAGTCCATAACATTTATTTGTATAGATTTAAATTTGTTAGCGAACCAGTTTATAGTGTTAAGAGATGTCGCCATACGATTTGTTACATCATAGAATTGTAAAAGGTGCCAAACTGGAAGTAAAAATTCATTACCGCAGCTATAAGGATCTGAAGAAGCCCAGTGAAAAAAGGGTGCTCTAATGCAAACTACAAAGGGATGTTGTATATAAGGGGAAATACTTTGTTCAGAACAAGTGTATACTCATACAGTTCGGGTGTGGTGCAGTGGGAACGGAACCGTCGCGTCGCGGCGAGAGTGACGTCGCGCGCGAAGGAATGTAACAGTGTGCAGCGGCAAGTAAGAAATACACGAACAGAAGAAGTAGTAGTTGAATCATGCCAATAGTAATAATCGTATAGCGATTGAGCTGTATGAAGAACGCTAGAACTATTATAATGAGGCAGATGGTCCGCGACAGCCGCGTGCGGCGGATCGGACACAAATTCTACCGTTCCTGCTGCCCGTCTCCCGCACGGATCACAAGAACGTTAAAGACGGTATTTGCGAATTACCAGAACGTTCAAGACGCTATTGGGTAGTTCGTTAAGCAACTCCACTCAAGAACGACGCATATTTTACTTGTCGCCTAATAACCTACCATACTTCGCTGGTCTTTCATTGGTTTCTACGAACTCCACGTCTCAAAGAGATCATCAGATGGGAAACATCTTCGGTATTTCCCAATTCCTCGTCTCTTTCCTCTTGCCAACGCCATGTTCTTGAGAACATTCGATGCGTACACTTTTTGGAATGGATAGTGTTCAGCTTGGATTTTCATTCCGTTTTTTCACTTTAATACTGGCAGCTGACGATTTTCGTACCAGAGAGCCTGGTGCTTCCCCTTTTCTATAGGTGCTAGTGGGAGTCTGTCCAAAAATAGTTCCTTATGACAGCTGAAGATCGGGAATTCGTGGAAAGGTTCATGTTCAGATTTCTTCCGAAGTACTGGTAGTAAAATGAGTTTTAAAGTGACGTCATGCGATGGAACATGGTATGTGTACATGATACAACATATGACTGATATGTACTACGGCTGATACTACTACGAACCAATTTGGGCTCATTTTGGCTCGTTCGGAATCTCCTTTCTATGAATTCCTACTGTTACGGTGTCTCCGATGAATGATTTGAAGGTGATCCATAGTTTTTGAATTAGGCCCTTCAAAAGGTTCACTGGCTCCGGAGTCCTCATGGTAAACCTAACAGACGGCAGAAACGAATAGAACGTAAATGTAAAAAGATATTTATTGCGAGGGATGGACCGAGACCATGTTGGCACTTTGCGTGGGTGGCCTGAGTGTGCATCGTTTAGGGGCGGTCCGATTGGTTAGGCATCCTTTCAGGCGGTCAGACCACGGTCATTAATCGGGAATACGCCGTGTTCTTCCTTCAGTGATCGTGTTGTCAATTCAGAGGATTAAACGAAAATGTATAGCAATGTGTTTTGGACAATGTGTGCCGTGTTGGCTCAAATAGCCAGACGGCGAAATGGTGATATGTGGTGGCGGGTGTTACGAGTTGCTGTCACTTCCCGTATCCAGGCTTGTACTATTGCCATCGGATGGGTTTTCATGATCGATGGTTGATTTTGATGGTTTGTTAAAGGCCTGGTGCACCTAACACCAGTTTTTGCGTGCAATAGTCCAGTTGAATGGCAGCTTTTTCCTCGCGTTTATACTAGTCTAGCCAAATCAAGATCCTTTGCTTCTGCTATGATTGTTTAAGTACGATTCTTTTCTCATCACTTCGATTTCTGCAGTTATGTCCTCTGTTCAGGTTCCATGCTTGCAGTTCTTACTCATCTCTTAACTCAAAAATTTGATTTTGGTTGAATTTCCGGGAGTCGGGCAATAGGAAACGGTTTTGTGTAGTCGATCCGCCGCACGCGGCTGTCGCGGACCATTTGCCTCGTAATATCAATTCTAGCGTTCTTCATACAGCACAATCGCTATGCGATGACTACTTATGGCATGATTCTACTGTTAGTTCTTTTGTTCCTGAATTCGTACTCGATGCTGCATTCTGCTACATTACTTCGCGCGCGGCGTCTCTCTCGCCGCGACGCGACAATTCCGTTCCTACTGCACCACACCCAGAATTTCCTGTCATTCCCTGCCAGCCTTATCATATGATCATGACGACTGTTATAACGAACAACTAAATTCTTGAGCGTAATTGGCCCGAGCACTTTTGGGTTCTAGTAAGTGCTGCATCAATTGGTTGACTACTTCTGTGAAAACTAATTTTGTATTCTACTTCCTAGTTGTAATTTTCATTTTTAATGGAAACCTTCTGTGATGAAAACCTTTCCCTTCCAAATCTTCCAATCTCCTAGTCGCTTAGTACTGGATTTTGCAATAATTAAAATAAGTCTTTGCGTTATGTCACCCCGTTAATTTAGACCGCTGCCCTGAAGCTAGGGGGATAGCTAAGTGTTGAACGGGCAGTGATGGCGTAGTGGCAAGTGGCGCACTATCACACACGCATGTTTCGCAGTTTGAATCCCGGATGGATTCACCTAGGCCAACCAAGCCCTCCATCCCTTCGGGGTCGGTTAGTTGGTGCCAGACTCGTGTGGGAGGATAAAAGCACTGACATTGTACATCGGCTGGCCTCCGCAGTTCATTACAAAGGCCACGCCCTGCATTCAAACCGCCAGTACGATTTTGAATGGAAGTCGGATGCAGGGCGCATCCTACAAATGACTGATTAACACCGAGGATTTTATTTTTTATTCTTTGAAGTAACAATTCCATGTTCGGTCTTCTTGAAACCTGGGCATTTTACATAATGTTTAAATACTGCTTTGCCGTACAGGTTTGTTATGGCTGAACCGCTTTATTGGTCAACGTTTCGACTGAATCGTCGTCTTCAGGACCTGAAAATAGTTCGAAGCTCCTGATCTGTGACTTACCCGACCAAGCGCCCAAACGCGCTAGGCTAGTTGCAACGACTCCCGGAAACTAAAATACGGAAAAGTTCCAGCAAAGAGACCACCAACCTTCTGCGGTTCCACCGGCGTTACGTCCCACTCTATGTGAACAACAAGGGATCAATGAGTCACCATTGATGATCGTAAGATAAGAACTGTGCGGGTGATCTCAAAGTCCACAAAAGGGAATGAACGGCAAGAGTTCACTTGTTATGGTCAAGCACTCATTTCGGTTGTTCAGGCCTGGATTTTTCGTGCGAATATGTAACGCTTCCAGTATCTTTCTGGCACCGATCTCATTCTCGTAGGCTAGGATTTTACATTCGATGTCGAAATCATTGCCTTGATGACCTTCTAGTCGGTGCCTCCCAAGTGGTGTTAGTAGACTTCCACGCCTTTTTCCTGCCAGATGTTCTTTGACACGTATGCCGAGCATCCTTCCCGTCTCACCAATATATATTTCGTCACAGACTGAACACCGAAGTTGATAAACCGTCCCTCGCTGTGTGCAATCTCCGACTTTTCCGAACGGACAAATGACGCAGTTATCCGTAAAACATGCACGGTCGTAAAGTCTATTGCGGATTAGTTGACGTTTGATATTGTCGCCTGGTAAGTTTATCAGGACAACATTATCGGCTAAATCCGCGCGTGCAATGCATTGCCTGATTTCTGCGCTAATTTTGTCCGATATGAAAGGAAGCCGGAGATACACCATATTCTCAGGATTTCCTGGGAAATGCCTTTTCAAGCCTGATCTTCCGTGTTGTGCCCCATAACCATTCAACCTTGCTATCTCAGATGCCTCTCTTCTCATTACTGAAACCCTTTCCGTATTTCTTCTTTTCTTTTCTCTTTGCTGGAACTTTTCCGTATTTTAGTTTCCGGGAGTCGTTGCAACTAGCCTAGCGCGTTTGGGCGCTTGGTCGGGTAAGTCACAGATCAGGAGCTTCGAACTATTTTCAGGTCCTGAAGACGACGATTCAGTCGAAACGTTGACCAATAAAGCGGTTCAGCCATAACAAACCTGTACGGCAAAGCAGTATTTAAACATTCTTTGAAGTCTTATTATGGCGTTCGTTGTAAGGAAAAGTGCAGCGACCCTTTGCGTGGGTCGGCTTGACCGCATATCATTCGGGGACGGACGATAAGATAGATGTTGTCACAGGTGGTGAGACCACGACCCCACAAATTGTGAACGTAGGGACGATGATAGATGGACTGGCCTGTAATTAAAAGATACCACACATTCTTAGAATGAAAGCGATCTCTAAAAAGTCGGAATTCATCCGCCGTCAGACCTGACTATCCGTGACGTGGGTTCACCCACCTCATTTGTGTAATATAACAAAAACAGCCCAAGGATTATTTTTCTGTCCACAATGAGAAGCTGTAAGACAGTTGAATCTGTCCGGTCCCTTTATCAGCCTACCGTTTTCACCACTGTTTCGAGTATCAGACCAGTTTTATTCCATCCTATTAGTCTGATGTTGCAGTGTTCAGGGAATACTCTGTGAAATGTCCATGTTAATTAACTTTCCACCGAAGTTTTCTATGCTTGCAACCATGAGTGTGTGCACTTGTCTGTCTAGTTTTACTGGGGATATCTCACTACTTCCCCGCTGTGGTGTGGGCGCAAGTGCACTCAACGCATTTTTCCTCTTTGCCCTCTCTCTCTGACTCTTCACCCTGTAGGTGGTTACAAAGGAGCCGCGCCAGTGCTCCAGCTACTGATACAGTCAGGTAAACAAGATGGGAATTGAGGTAGTGGTACGGTCTCATGCCGTCTTTTTGATCGTCTTCGTTTGATGGGCTACCCGTTTAGGTCATGTGAATTGGAGCAAGTTCGGGTTCATTAGGTCCACTTCCGAGGCATTATTGATCAAACGGTTCTCAATAGTAATTTTCTGAAACATCTGCTGGTCGTATGCTAGTGTAGGTATGTTTTTGGGCCCCGTCAGTGGAAGGTGAAGCCAAGTGTAATGCTCCGTTCATGCGCTTGTTACTCGTCTTCAAAGTAGGTTTGGTGTAGCACACGGTTTCTTATTTAGCCTATAATACTCATATACCGAACGCCAATCATTCGCTGTGGGGACCATTTTCAAAATTGCGTCATCTTTTGCTATCATCACATATGTATGGAAAAACCCTATGATATCTATGGGCCTACATGGACAAAAAGTTAATTGCAACGCACTCCACTGCTAAGTGCACACTCAAATAGTTATCTTGCAGCAGAGCAGCAGCTGCACTTTTTCTTTAAAGGTGTATCATATTTTGATGTTTTACCAGTATTTATCATCGAATATTGCCGAAATTTACTAAACAAGCATATTTAGCAAACTTCATTTTGTAATCGTCATTTGTATGAGGTTGAATACTTAACAACGAAGGTTCCTTTTTATACTAACCAATCTTTTGGTCTTTTGGCCTTGGGTCCTGTGGTCGTTTGTCGTATGAGAGTTTCACATTGACATTGGGGCGCGTTTTCTGCCCTGAACAACTCAGCCGCGTTTTCGACAGTCGAGCAGCCACCAACGTAAATTTACTTTCGTTAAGTTGTTTTGAGAAAATGAGTGGTGTTCAGGTTTTAGTCTTTCTCTTTACGTAGCCTACCTCCTCTGTGCTTCATCGCTTGTTGAAGGGCTACTTTTCCTGTGTGGAAAACGCGCCCTGAATGCAACATCGCAGTATGACGTATACCCACGAAAAAACAGTTTCTGCCTGCAGAACCGTTCTAGCCGTGCCAGTCGGCATGTATGCAGCCAGCTTGCAATAGTAATGTGTTCTGCACATGTCAGCTTTGAGGCATTTTGGTAGGATTTTCTTACCCTCGCTTTGGCTCAAACTACAAGTGGCGATGTTCGAAGTTCACGAACAAGCCGTCTCTTTTATGATCTCATCGCTTTTTTTTCTGCTATCTTCTATATTCTATAGTAGAACTAACATTTTATAACTTCAGGGACCTAATTTCCCCACCGTTCTGGTATATGTGGCCCTCTCTTGGTTCACTGATTGGTTTTTTTCTTTAAGTTGTCGATGTCCTTCTTGCATCTGCGCTCTAGCCCTTCGAGGCAGAGAACAAGAGTGAGAAGTTCAAGTTGTCTCATAATCCGCTCCTGCTGTAACCCACAATTATCACAGGGGTTGCGAGGGGATGCAGTAATCAGCAGAGATGTGAGTCAATCTTGAAAGAAGTCTTGAGGTGCACGTAGTCTTCAACTTTTCCGAGGCATAACCACTCCACTATTACGCTTTCATCTTTTCCGTAACCCTCATACTAGCCGTGCTCCTCCCGCTAACTCTCATGGTAATCTATAGCAAATCAGTGGAGATCTGAGTTAGCAACGATCTGGAAGTGTAAAATATTTGAACGGCGAATACTCAGGGTCTCTTAAGAATATCAGGCGTTATTTGTTTTCGTTCTTTAGCAGTCGGGCAGATTTTTCGCATCGCGGCAACGTCGAAAGTGCATTTTTGCACAGACAAGAGTGCACTGGGAAAGACTTAGGTAAATTAGAGACGCAGAAAGTCAGAGTTTCGCGGCGCGATGCCGCGTCGCGACACGTTCAATTCATTCACGTCGCTGACCACTCGTTCATTTAGTTCCCGTTCATGCTCTGTTCTTGTTCTACACCGTGCACAGCTTAGGGCTATTTCGGTGTAGCTATACTTGAGCGAACATCGGCTTTTCGGCTAAATGCGTCCCGGATAATCCCGGATAGCGGACAAGCTTAAATCTCATTACGTTAATCCCAATAGTTGAACCCGTTTTATTTAGCTGTTTACTCTGATGATGGCGCTCCTTAGTTATTACCTGTGCTAGGAATAGTATTATTATGAATATACTATTTACCTTCTTGCAGTTGACCCAGATTCCTGGACAACATGAAGGTTGATCCTGATGGCTTGTTGGCTTCTCTCATTGAATCGCCCATTCTTCTCAAACCATATGCTAGCATTGAGAATCAGCTGGAAAATAAGGCCAAATACGTGCAGACCAGATTGGTAAGCCTTATTTTTTAACTGTTGGTATAGCTCTGACTAACAGAAACACCCAGATTTAGGGACGACTCCAACAATATGAGGGTATCGCTAATGCTGGATTGCCGTTGACTGTGAGTCAAAACGAAGCCAGATCGAAGATTGATGAGGTTCTGAAACATCTAGAGTATGTAAAGGTTGGTTGCAGCACATCCTAAAAGGTGTGTTTTTAGCTGGATAGCGCACCTGATTTATCGCTATCGATTCCCCAAATCGATTTTGGTACAAAGGGATAAGATGAGTCACTTCCTACCGTAACTTACCTCCTCCCTCGACTTTCCCATTGTCCTACCCTTTTTCTTAACTTTAAGGAAAGCTTAAAGGATTGTCGCATCCCGCGAGTACTAAGTCATTAAGGAGTTTTTCCAGGATAATCTCCCCAAATTTTTGAACAACTGTGATTCTAGTTATCCTAGTACAGTTAGATGGAAGTTATAGATGAAATTATGAAGAACTGCAGGGATTCAAACATCAATTCTCGCTAGTTTACCAGTAGTATGTCTCAGGGTTCGGTAACTCTCAAAAAAGGTTAGGGTGGTTATGTAAAGTTTGAACTGTCCCTGCTAAGAATTGTATAGATCCTATTATTTGATCGGCATTCGTGTGCTGCGGTAGAGCAGCTGTTTACAAGGATCACGAAGTGGTTCTAAAACAAAAACAAATTAATGGCCCTGTTCTTTTTTGGTGGGTGGGCAGTTGCTTCCCAAGTTCTCGGCATGTGAAAAAAACTAGGATACCGTTGGACTTCTGACAATCCGTTTTCAAACTAGATTTTGTTTTGTATAGGAGAATGGCAACACTGAGGGGTTCCGTAAATTTGTACTGATACGGGATGGTAGTGGGAATCAAAGTTTAAATTTGGTAGATTTATAGAAAAGTTGCGGCAGGGGGTAAAAAAGAAGAAAAAACAGCTGAAAATAAGACGGGTCAGTCCCAAATGGCCTTAATTCATCCAGAGAAATTCGAGGGCGATCGATGTAATGGATTTCCTTGGATTCTTTGAAGTATATGGGACAGCACTTATTGATTGACGAAATGGTATACCACATGGTTTGTTTATACTAATCAAAGCGGATGGCTGTCGACTACCATAATGTCGACGTTCAGAGTGTCATTTTTATGCAGTGTTCGTGAAGGGCTGTACTTTAGGATAAACTGGGATTTTTGGAGTTCTTAGAGTTTCGGAGACGGATTATCGTTTGTGGGACCAATCCCTTTTTTGCCAGGATGGGCAGGTAACTTTATCTCGAAGCTGAGTAGATGGTTACTTGGGTTTCAACTTTATCCAGCGGGAAGAGTGTAACTTTTAAAGTAAGTGTGGTTTATGGCATGGATGGCTCATGCTGTGATATTTCTTTCACTTTTCATTTTCATTCTTTTGGCATGTCTCTCCTTGGGGGAAATGAGATTCGTAGTGGTTAGGGAGGTGTCGTACGAACGACGAGCCGCTAGGGGCTTTCGAAGAAAGGGCGGAGTAATCAGCCTATCGTCACACATGATTGTTAGGGACTGTTAAATCTTTCATTTTTCTCCAGTGTGGTGAGCATTTGACGTTTTTGGACCTACTCTTCATATCTTCATCAGTTCAGGGTTCAAAGACAAGGAGCTAGTACTGTCGTATCGAGGAAGGGACGGGTGAAAAGGGTTGTGAAAACGTTATGAGTAATGGAAATAAAAAGATGGAGAGTAGGGGTGTGTTAAGAAGTGATGAATATGTCAGAAAGCTGGATGCATGAAGTAACTTCAATCTAATGGTTCCTCTTTTTTCTATGCAAAGAGTCTATGCTCAGAAATATTGGGTTGTAACATAAGTTCGTAGAGTTTTTCACGAAGATTTATTTAAAACAAAACAATAATTATAGTATTAAATCGATCAATGATGTATCCTCCTGTTACTGTTTGCGACCTCCTCCCATCTCTCGACCAATTTGTTGATGCCGTTTCGCCAAATATCGGCCGGTCTGGAGTCAAAGAAGTTGTTGAGCCAGTTTTCAAGAACCTCTTCGCCATCGAAGATAACACCCCTCATTTGGTGTGACAGAGAGCGGAAAGGTGGTAGGTCGGTGGGTGCAAGATCCGGGGAGTATGGTGGATGCTGAAGAACCTCTTATTCAAGCTCTTGGAGTGCTGTTTTGACGACTTGAGCAGTATGGGGCCTGGCGTTGTCGCGGAGCAAGATGACTTGACCTTGTCTATCGAGTCTTTTCAACCGAATAGCCTCACTTACACGGTTTAGCTGGGCAATGTAGTCCTTCTTGTTGACAGTAGCGTTTCGTTCGAGCATTTCCCAGTGCACCGTGCCTTTCCAGTCTCACCAAACGCGGATCATGACCTTTTTTGAGTGAGGGCCTTGCTTGACTCTCGGCTTCGGTTCTCTCCTGAGACCACCCAAAGACACACCTAAAACACCTTCCTCGTACACACTGCATATGTCCCGAGCAGCTTCGGCTGCTTTTTGACATCGCTGAAAAGTAGATGTCGAAAATGCTGATTTTCTCCTTCTGGATGTTCCAATTCTTAGCCAGAAAAAAGACGAACAATTAGGTTATCCAAAAAACGACTGAAACCGTTTTGTAGAGGAGAAAGAGCTCTTTCGAATGAGTATATACACTCCGCGAAAAATCAAAGCCATTCGTTGTAAAATGACTCTATCGCAAAACTCTACGGACTTGTGTTACAACCCATGAACCCATGAACATGAAATACGGGCCTTCCCTCTTGAGCGGATCGAGTCGTGGTAAGTGACGAGGTACCGACAACTTCTGCTCAAGGGAATGAATTCATCGTCATCAATCTCATTACGACAGGATATTATAGGGTACGATAAGTGATTAACCGAAAATAATTTTAAATCTCATCAAATTTAGTTTAAAATTTGAAAATCGAATCGGAGTGAGTTGATGAAGAAACTGAGGTTATTGTGATATATTGAGCGTGTTCACATCCGATCCACTTGAATAGACGTCAATGGATTTAGTAGGGTTGGGATTTCTCAGTGGCGTTCTGATTATACTAAAGTGAGACATGCTCAAGGACGAAACTCGCTTGCGATAATTATCAGAAGAAATGTCGGGTTTGATTGCCGCCAGGACTTGGAGAACATCCTTTGCGCGCGTCCGTAGAAAGTAGGTCCGCTCACTTCGCGCGCGCGCACCCCTTTGAGGTCTCAAGGTGACATTACATTACCACCTAAAGTCAGTGGAGCGAACGATTTTTATTTGTCCGTGTTATCCTCTCTTTGGCTGACTTCCCTGGAACAAGCGCAAATCGTATGCCCCACTGGCAACTGCGACGTCTGTCAAGTATAGCGGGCTGACCCGCCGCATACGACGGCTGCAGCGTGACCTAGTTTTGTCGGTCGCGCGCAACGAAGCGCACCCCTAGGACATTATGGCCACATACGCTCATGGTACTAAAGGCGCAGCTCACGATGTTTTTGTGGTATCATTGCTGAGTAAAAAGTGGAATGGAGGTGGAGAACAGTGCTTTGCAGCGAAAAAAGTGCAACAATCCGTAGAATTTCCTAGAAATAAGGCTTTTTATTGTTAGAATCAATGATTTTAGGGGTTGTCCGAGAGTAACATGACGGGAATAGTGAAAAAGTAAGAAGTGTTTGTCGTGCGCAGTATCTTAAAGAGCCTTCGGTGGTAAGCTCAAAATTTCGAAATTGCCTTCCTCTCCTCTAGATCACGACTAGCTGTCTAAGTTCCCAAATGAACGGTACAGCATACAGCGCCTACAACGGTGCTCTATTGGGAACGGTACTGCACCTATGTACAACGCCGTCGCAACACGTCCACTTTTGAGTGTGGACGCACCTGGAGCCAGTTTTTTAACCATAATCTCGTCCTATGTAGACTATTTTTCGACCGTCCCAGTTGGCTTGGCCACAGGTTCGTTCTGTTGGATATCTCAGAAGTCTCTTTTATCGTGAATTGTGCTTTCTAATTGAGAACCCAGAAAATTCCACCGTTTCGGTGATCTTTTATTCAGATTTACCACGTTCAAATAGTATTTTTCATGTGAATTTAGTTTCCTTTTCCTTATTCTAATGGTGTTCTAATGAAGTTATTAATTTTTATCGGAACACCGAATACGGTAACACTTTCCAGATCTGACGTATGTTGCAAGAGCTGCTCTTTACCGGCAAGCTGTAGCCTTGCGCTCGGGTGAGCCCGACACGACACCGATGAATTGAGCTAGCCAGCTGAGAGGCCTCGTGAAGAGAATGGTTAGCTGTTGACTATTGTAAATAGGGGCTGCAGTGATGAAGATGTTTAACTCACAGTGTATTCTCGGAGTTTACTTGAAAAACAGGTCAGTAAACGAAACGTTAGCACAGGCAACTCGAACGCGATGTAGCCGCTTGCCGGTGAATAATTCGGGTTTCTTTATTGAAGCCATGAAATGTTAGTCATGATCAATGCTAGAGATCGGTAGTAGTAGTGGAGTATTACAAGTTTTCACTGAATAATCAATCCTGAACTTCGTCATTTCCTTTTTCACCTCTCCTATAAACAAGGAACCTCCCACACCTTTTATTCTCCCACTGCGTGCGACGCCCACTTTTGTTCCTTCTCATTAATATTTGCAATAATTAAGTTCCATATTTCCTACATATTTAGCACCTCCTCAGCATTGTACAGCGTGATCGCACTTTGTTCGAGAAGTCCATTAGAGCTGCGGATATTTTAATAACTAACAAGGTACTTTTTTATTTCTTTTATGTTTAGGCAGTGTTGTTCATTTTCGTTTCTCTTTTTTTCTATTAGCAGCTCATTTAAGTTATATGTTTTGATTTGCCATATGAAAGTGCTAGTTGCTGTTTTTGTTTGTTGGGCTGCTTTCATATTCCACTATTTAGCCCGCGACCGGTTGCTCGACCAGTCGCGCGACCGGTCGCGGGCCAAATCGTGGACTATGAAAGCAGCCTTTTGGGTCATTATTGAGATGTGGTTGAGAGGTGAGATCCTATCATAACATAATTCTGTTATTATTTTCATCATTATTTCGTAATTTGTTCATTTAAGTTCCTTTATTTTGTTCAAATTTTGTATTACAATCTTGCCATAATCTTGAAAAGTTCGAAAAATTTTAGCTGGATAGTTTCCGTAGCACGACAATCTCACATGCATACGTTTATGGCGAAATCCTCACTCAACTAACCCATCCCACTTGTACTAAAGCATTTCTTGATGGAACTGATGGAGCTGTAGTAAGTAATTGATTTCTCTGTAATATATTAGATGTCTGTTAAAGGCAATTCTTTTTTTAATACGTATTCGTGTTATAGACCCTAACACAAAAAGAATTGGATGGTCTTAACCGCTTGAGATGGGCGTTCTTCCCTTCCTACTGTGATTGCGAATCATTGGAACAAGTGGAAACAAGAGCTGATGAAGCGTCTTATATTGTTGCTGCCATTCTGAATGGAAGTAACGCGGTTGTGGATAAACAGTCGGAATTGCGGGGTACTTTTTTTGCTTCAAATTTTTCTTTTGGCTCATATGACAATTTTTGTGCATTGCCGATAACAATATGCTATTATTCCCTTATGTTATTTACTATTTATTTATTTATTTACATCTGCCCACAGTATCAGTCCACTATTGCAAACATTTGCTCCAACCATCATCCCATGTCCAGGCCCGAAGTGTTTTCGATGTGACGGGGATTTGGGAAGTCGTATGTGTGACACGGGTGGTGGGGTATGAATTTCCTCAATTGTTCCTTTTTCCCCGTATGGGTAAGATAGTGTAAGCGGAGAAGCATCGTAGTTTTACTTTGGAAGGTCGCTTTCTGTCTCATGTTTTCCCACAGGAAGCTTCCCGCACTGATGGCTTCTGCCTATAGTTACGGTTCCTCCTTTCTAAGAAGCACAATGAAAACAAAATGTGGGCTGTTGGCTCGACTCCATTTATCATGGATACGATCTTCTCACTTCGGCCTCTCTCTCGCGCTTCTACCCTCTATCAGAGTTATTTTTTCGCATCCTTCGGCTGCTGTGTAACTATGCTGTAGATCAGCTTCTAGACCCGGTTTGTTGCTAGCGGAGCCTGCTTGTCTCCCCTTTAAGTTATGCTATACATCGATTGTTAGCGCCACCGTCCCGTGCTCGCTTGGGCGTCTCAGTAATTGATGAGCATGTTAGACCTAATGCAAGTAGTGGTCCAACTCCAACTTTACTTCTCCGAACTTCTTCGATTCCACGACTCATCAACTATGAACGGCTCGGACTTTGGGGATTGCTTATATCTTTTTTGGCTGTTGAAGAGCCAAATTTTGAAAGCTTTTGGAAAAATTTGTTGTCTGAAGCTCGTTCTCCTTCTTCAGTTGGGTCTCCTCGGATTGTTCGCGAACTCGCCAGTCACCGTTTCACTCTTTTAGTTACAATTGTAAAACGATTTCTTTATATGAATCTTTTGTTTCTACCATACTTTCCATTCTGCCTTCCGTACATCTTGTACATGCCCATACATACTTACTTTGCCAGATTTTACTGATTTTAGTGAAAAGTAACAGTTTGGACGTAGAACGCAGCGCACTTATCCGTCTTAACATTTGGCCTGATAGCATTTTTTGCAGGGCATGAAGCTCTTACACTGCTCGAGAAAGTTAAACAGTCGGACTTCTTTTCGTCAGGATCATGGCCAATGGGAGTTGACGATGAATATACCGATTCGGAAGATCCTTCTGCATTACCTTCGATTCCTGAATCACAGAATGAGGGCGAGAGTCCACAGCCGTCGTTCAATAACACTGATACAGAAAATGACAATTCTTTACCTATCAGTGAGGACGCGAACATCAAGACTGGTGATTCCGAGATAGTTGCCTCTGAAGAAATCAAAAGTGTTGTGAATTCTATTGCTTCGGAAGAAGCTGTCGGCGAACAAACTTCAAACTCATCTCCGGTTTCTGCTCCGACCACGGAAATTAATGACGGTGGGTTCCCTAACTTGCAGAATCTTTCTTTTTTCGTGTGTTTTACATTTCTGTAGACTTTGCGAGCATTCTGATATACAGTTGAAGCTCTAATTCAAAAGAAAAAGGCGCTAAATATTATTTGTAGGACTATGTTTTTATATTTTTAACGATCGATCGGTCATGTGCATATCTTGTCGCACGACTTGGTAATAGGTTTGGTTACCATTTCCTGCGATGGGGTGATAAGGAATCAACCAAGACTTGTAGAGCCCTCGGACCATGATTAGCGAAATTCGCACGGTCATGCACGTTCTTCCTAGAAGGACTCAAATAGCCTTAGAAATTTCGGGATAAGTTTTTTTTTCACGAAAATTTCTTTTTCTATTGAATCCAGCAGTAATGCTTTGGGTGAGCCCCGCAATTGGGCGCTAAACAGCTATACATATGTAGTGGTCGCCGTTGACGATCTACTCGCCAGTAACTAATGTGACTAACGGCAAGCGCAGCGCATCGCGAGTCAGTTGGCTTGTTTTGACTGTTCTGGACAGTCTGTTACTTCCTTCACCTTGAAATTATCGAATCGTGAAATACAGCGGCCTCTAAGTGAGCATTTCAGATCATAATGACTCTACGAATATGTCTGATTCGGGTAATGGTACTGTATCTCCGGATTGTGAAGTGGTTCCTGATGCGAAAACAGAGCTGAACAAAATATCGAACAATGTTCTCAAAGAGGTGGGGCTCTTTTGACTTATTGTGTGGCACATATAAGCTGCTTAATTTCTGTTGACTTCGAGATTCTGTGCTGGTTCCTTTTTCATAGTATCTTGGTATTCATCAGGCTCTACTAGATTACTTGTTTCGCTATCACTAGTCTTTCCACTATTTACTTGTGGTCTTCTGTCGCTCGCAGAAGAATATGGTGCAGCGGGGCGAACAAAAAAGGAGGGCCAGATCTTTAGCTCCATGAAGTGGCGACATTATGAAGCCTAAGAACACGGTCAGGAGTTACTCTCGAGGTCACCATGCAGAAGGAATGCCACTGAAGTGACGACCGTGAGAGAAACACTTGACAGTTCCCTTGATTAGCAATCACGCAGTCACTCAATTTTGGCTCGGCGATCTTGAGGGGATTGCTGGCACACGCATTGAAGATCGATGTTCCATTGGAGTTCGGCACCAAGACCCTAATGAATTGGAATGTTATAGAATTTATATACAGTTATTTGCAGAAGCGGAAGTTCCGAGGAGGATATAATCGCTCTGGTGAAACAGGTACTTTTCAAGAGAGAGGTGAGTTTACACTCGTGATCAAATCTATGGCTGCTTTCATGGTCCAGGATTTGGCCCGCGAGCGATTGAGGCGGCGCTTGCCCCTTGTTTACAACTGAATTTCGGTCGACACCGCGGGCAAGCGCCGCCCCAATCGCTCGCTCGCTCGCAGGCCAAATCGTGGACTATGGAAGCAGCCTTTGAGTAGCCTCCTTAGCCATCGAAATAATGAGTAGTTTTCAGAGCGCAATGATCAACGAACTTATCCGGCGAACAGAATGCAAAACGGCGGCAATTTCACTTCTTCGCAACCTAGGCAGGGAAACTTTCCAAGGAGGCGAGCAGATCGTTCTGGTCCCATGAATAACATGGGAGCGCAGGATGGTGCACCCTACTCAGATTACTGGAGATCAGACGGTCGAGCAAACTATTCGCGTCCGAATCGCTATAGTAACTATCAGAATCCCGTTCCATTCACTTATGAACCTGGAGTCAGTCGTCGTCCTGGTCCACCCGTATTAGGCTTTATATTTGCAAACAGGTAACAGTTTGCTCTTTGACACCGAATAGATGCTATTCTTTTATAGAAAGCCTTCCGGCACATCGTTAGAACAGATTGTCGCCTATAGACTGCTTTTGCTATTTTCTCTATGCGAATGTATATCTTTTCTAACGGCTAATCATTTCATCACTCTTCATTGGAACTGGTAATACCAAACGCTTAGTGTTGTTTTTCATGAGAACTGGGTCTTACTTGGGTTTTTTTTTATTTCGCGGTTTGCTCTCATACGATATTTGGTCAGATTTTCATACTAGCAGCAATTCTCGATCATGTTTTATTTTGATAGGTTTTATATGCTTTCAAATGATAACAAAGCACTATATGATATCGGTTAATATAATATATTGCTTTCTTCATTCCGGCTTTTTTTCCCACTTTGCTGTGCTCTGGTTTGCCACAGTGCGTGTTATGGGTTTTTCGATCTTCGATTCTCTGCTGAAGAAGTAGTTTTAGTTTCACGATCTATCTTCTCCATCTGAGGACTTTTAACTATACTTTATTATAGATGAATTCTTTGTTCGGAATATGCGCTTTTACTTGTATAGAGTTTTATAGAATGCTTGCTATAAAGTAGGAGAATCTGAATGTCTTATCAATAGGAACACCTGAGTTGTCGTTACGGTTCTTTAATTTGCCAGTGAAAAGCTATGGATTTAGTTATTCATGAAACTGAGATATCATCTCGTACAACGACTTTCTACTAACTTACTATTGCTGTCATAGAGGTAGACCTAGAAAGTTCTCGATTGTTAAGCAGCAAGTAGTTGCAATGCCGGTGTCAATGCGCTTGTAAACCTACAAACCGACATTGTGGGACCGTTTAATTAGGCTAGTATGAAGGTATTGCTTCTTTCTTTGGAACAAGCAAATCGGAAATGAATAGGATCCACTCTCTCATACACATTTTCATATTCAGAAAATGTTACCCTCAGAAACGTTCAGAAGAGCTCGAGGCGAGTCCTGATCTTTTTATTGTTCCGGACACTTCAACCAGACACTTCAACCAGGGCCAACCGAAAATCGCGATGATCAATGAATATGACTCGAGGACTATGGAGTAGCAACCGTTAGTACGAGACTGGAAAGATGTTAAACTCCTGAAGTAGAGCGGGATTCGCTTACTACCAACTTCAATGGCTACCTTATCCTGCACAGATGATCTCTTATGAAACGACATTCTGGGTTATAAATTGTGGCTGCTTTCATAATCCACGATTTGGCCCGCGAGCGACCGACCGGGCGAGCGAGCGATTGGGGCTGCGCTTGCCCGCGGTATCGACCACGATTCAGTTGTAAACAAGGGATAAGCGCCGCCCCAATCGCTCGCTCGCTTCCTCGGCCGATCGGCCGGTCGGTCGGTCGCTCGTTCGCTGGCTAAATCGTGGACTATGAAAGCAGCCTCATACTTGTGATTCCAAACAGCCCACCCTGGTTTTCTTCTAAAAGGTTGTTGGGTCATAAAAGTGATGCAAGACGGTTCAAAGACATTGCTATTGTCATCAGAAAGAAATCCTCTTCCGGTTCGTCCCTATCACATAAGGGAATTCGATTTTCTTGATATGCTTCGAAATTACGTGTGCAACTGCAGGCTATCTTCATTACCACCATTTTAGATTCCTTTTCTTTTCCATTTCGATCAGATTCTATGAACATCTATAGACATAGCCACTATATGCGAGGTAAATTTGAGTATAGGTGAAAAACGAGTCAACCGAACAAGGGGACCATATAATAGATCATTCTGCAGCTAAGTGATCAAAAACGGTTCCCTGTTAAGGAATTCCCATTCTTTACTTGGCCTAAACCAAAAAAGTAATAGGAGGGGTAGAGAGAAGCAGTAAGGTCAAAGGTATGGACTGAAGATAGAACGGGTGTGGTGCAGTAGGAACGAAATTGTCGCGTCGATGCGGGAGACGTCGCGCGAATGTAGCAGAGTGCAGCAGCAAGTGAGAAATACAGGAACAAATGAACTAACAGTAGAATCTACCAAAAGCAATAATCGCATAGCGATTGAACCGTATGAAGAGCGTCAGAACTGTTATAATGAGACAAATTGTCCGAGACAACCGCGTGCGGCAGATGGATTACACAAAGCCGTTCTTACTGCCCGTCTCCCAAGATAGAACCCCAGAACCTGAGTCTACGATATTGCCTAGGAACAGTACAAAGTCAGAACAAGGATAGCATCGCTGCGGAGACATTTGTTTTGAGAACACGGGCTCGAGGTGCGAAATAGTGAGTCTAGAAAGACCACAGCTTTCAAAATAATTGTAGGAGATAAAAGACGGCATTTAGTTGCATCGACCATGTGACGCTAAGTTGTTAATTATAAGGTAAAAAAAACATGCACGAGAAGATGGACAACAACTTTGTCGCTATACATCGAGTCTTCTTTCTTTCTACTCAGCAATAGTCTGCACCATTGCAGGGTGTGCTAATGTTGTCAGCCGTTTACTTTTTCGCAATTCTGCGGCATTTTCAGCCGTCACTTCAGTATCGGAGAGGTCCTTCTTGATCATGTCCAGTCACCTCTTTATTGCGGCTTCCCTTAAGCCTCGATCCACTCCCTCCCTCATCGGAAGACCGTGGTCTTCTCAGTACATGACTGCACCGTCACAAACGCTGCTCTTCCATCTTCAGCTGAACAGGAGCTACTTGCAACTCGGCCCTGACGTCTTTGTTTCTTACCCTTTCCACTGCGTTCAACAGCAGGACCATCTTACAATTAGCATTCTCATTCCAGCGGTGTCTTCCATGACTATTACTTACTGGCCATCACTCGCCGCCATAGAGCATTGTGTGCCTCGCCACTACCTGGTACATCTTTCTTTTGAGCGTCCCGGAGTACCGCTGGTTGCAGAGGACACCAGTGGACTCTATTCACTTCACGAGAGCCTTCAATGCATGGGCCATGCTACCATCAGCTACGTTTTTGACCGGATATCGGGAGTCTTGCACTCTTTCGATAATTTCCCCGGACAATCTAATATAGGATCTGCGCAGCCTCCGAGCTAGGGAACGTCACCTTTTTCGGGTATGAGTACATTCACCCAACTCTGGATGGACGCGGCAAACCGCGCGGCGAAATTCGTGGCGATTCAAACGACTCTGGCTCCTATCATTGGGGCGCAGGATTTGAGCAGATTGGATAAGTAGGGCCAGCTGATGCTACTTATCTACCCTACTTCAAATATGTGCCCCAATGTTAAGCACCAGAGTCGTTCAAACCACTACAAGTTCCGCAGCACAGTTTGCCGCGTCCATCCAGAACTGGGTGGATGTTCTCTCTCCCCCCCCCCCCCCCCCATCTTTTTCGCGTGCAGCGGGAGCTCGTTCTCCGGAAGAACTCTCTGCCATTACTGCAGCATGCTCTGGAATTGTTATCAACTCTCCGCTATCAGAGCGATGCCATTAGCGTAAAGGATGACGTTCAGTGGTCTATCTAGGTGTCTTTTTATGATGACATCCATTGAAAACAGGAAGAAGAACGGGCTCAAAGCTGATCTCTGTTGTACCCCATTGATCCATTGCTTTTGTTAAAGGCACAGTTCACGTTAAAAATGGTTTACGAGATTTTTCCTTTTCATAGTAATGTGACCCCCTAGGATAGCCTAAGGGACGCTGTTGGGTCTTAGAATGGCCAGGATAGGACGTGATAAGGGTCTCAAAACCGGCTCATTCGTACACCCAAGGCGTATGAGACCTTAAGAGCACTTGAAGCTGTAGAGGTTGCACCATTCGCGCAGGGACCCACTCTTTACACGCAGCAACTAACGGCAGCCAGCTGTATGCAACGGCGCGCGCATTTAAACGCGTCCAATTACCCTTTTCGTTGCAACTTCTGTCGTCACATACTCGTCCAGCCACTAACTTCACCACTTTTTCAAGCCTTATATTTGTGCGCCGATCCCCGACAAGTGCGCCGATCCCGCGATTTCTTCGCCAATTCTGCGCCGTTATGGACTATCACTTCCATTATTCATCTAGAACTAGATAATCTAGAACCATTATGAACTGTGGCATTAAGCCGTGAGGGGTATGAGGTATGAGGTGAGGGATGAACTTCTTGGACCTGTCGTACATTTTCTTGGCCAAGGAGATCAGGTATTCATGAACATTTTGTTCTCAGAGCGCCTTCCAGGGAAGGTGATTGAGAGCCTTCCCTCAACCGAAGAAGACTAGATAGCAGCATATACGCTTTGCTCGATACCTCTCCATTCTGTCTAGCTACGAAGATTTCCCAACCTTCATCTTTCCTGTTGCTCCGACGACCTCATTCTTTGTCTAGAATAGGATGGAGCCTACCGCCGCCTCTACTTGAAACTGTTCTCATGGTGAATGTTTTCATGATGTTCTCAACTTTTCTTTCAATAGGCCGTCGAAGTTAACTTTTTATCTACGCATGCCCTCACCAGACTTCCTCAGAATCTTATCATCGCTAATCTTCACAGATCCTACTGCTTCGAAGGCTTGAATAGCCCAGTGCCGCGCTTTGGATAGCCAGGTGACGAAATTCTCTCCTTCTCGACCATTGAGCTTTTTATACAAGGCGCCCCTTCCCGTATTTTTTGGCTTCACTGCCGCAGCCTTCCAACTTCTGTACGCAGCTTGGATTTTGGAGCTCGCGTCTTTTACCGGGCTAAGAGGCTTTATTCTGCCCAAAAACTCGCTGATCTTCTTAATCCTTCAGAACCACGCTTTGTTCTCTTCTCGGAAATCCCCACTCCAATTTGATCTGACTCTATAGCACAGACCTATCTTAGTGACGGCTGCACTAAAAGAGGTCTGTGCTATGGAGTCAGGTATTCTCCAGGCAGGCTTCCATGTCCTTTACAATTTTCAAGTAAAATCTTCCTGGAGCACATGGCTTTTTTCGTTGTGTTTTCCTTCCTGTTGTTTACAGGTTATCTTCTGAGTTTACCTTCTTGTGCTGCAAGCTCGTGGGCTGTAGGACCCTTCTGTTCACTGTCGACTTGACCATTC